TTCTAAAGATATAAGTAATGTTCATCAATACGAAAAATAAGGTCTGTTATTTTTGAGGGAAATTGCCGTCTTATTTTGCTGAAGCTTGACGTCTTTCCTTTTCAATACACTCACGATACAAATTGCGTAAGATCGGTCGATACCTCCATTCATTCCCCCATTGTCTATGATTGTCGTGTGCTAAAGCTCGGCCGATTATCAACCGAGCCATAAATAATAGGCCTAAGCCTTCGTTTTACATGGGTTTTCGACACATTTTGTAACTATATTCTGACCAACATTATGCCATGATCTACACTAAATGCCCTTTCTTTTAAATGTGCAAATCAAATATAGGACTATTTGGGGAACTTATGCATTTTGAAATGAACATTGTTTTATTCTCGAAAACAAAAATAATATTTACTTTGAATACTTTCAACTTTGTTTCTCATAATTAGAAATATTCATTTGTCGTGTGCCTTACCATATTACAATCTTACCACTATTGCCTAGATATATTTTATGGAATAAAATGACACACAAATCCCATTTATCAGGATAACCATTGAACAGCTAGACTTGTTTTGGTTATCCCTCGTGAGAATTCAATTTATTTGTCTTCGTCTCCATCTGTGTTCTCGTTTAACCTATCCTGTCAATAAAACTTTGTTAATCTTCGTTTCATGATCAGTTCTGTAGATGGCATGTATACATGAAATGATGATGATGATGATGATGATGGCGATGATGATGCTTACAATATTGTAATAGAATAGTAATGATAATAGACATTAATTTCTTCATCTTGCACTCGCTTTTCTTTATTGCCAGAAAACTTTTTTTTTTTTATGTTGCCTTGCTTTTTTTCCCCCTTTTATCAATGGTAGCATATTTGCCCAGGAAAATTCTCATATTCGTGGCTATACCTATAACTCAAACCTGCTCTAAAATGGTTACATGCCCTCGTAAAGGTACATAAAGAGTGGTTGTTTGTATTGTCATGTAGCTTGACCTACGTTTGGGCCTACATCCTCTTCTTTCAACACGGTAATCTTCCAGAGTAGTTACACCTTTACATTCGTTTGTTCCTCTTATTGTGGGATCCGGTCCAGGCAGCTGAGATAAGCGTTTCATAATAGAGGAGGTCCATACATGAATGATTCGCTATATTGATCAAGTTGATAACATGAAAACTGTATTGTCAGAGTTCCGACACTGGTAATTACAGGGGAGAAGAATTACCAAGTCAGGGGTCGGTTATTTAATGGCTGTTTTCACAACCCGCAAAGGCCTTTGTTTTGTTATCTGATCTTGTTTATCGGATCGTTTTTCAAACTTTTATGAATGTTTTCCCCTGATTTGTTTTGCTTTCCTTTAAAGCAAATTTCCACCACAGGGTTGGATTGCCCATTTATTTTAATTAAGTACAATTTATAAATGCCAAGTCTCAGATTTTTCATATTCCATTCAATCTTTCGGGGAAGGGGGGGGGGGGAAGCATCGTCCATCGATATTTTTTGGTTTCCTAGGAACCAGTCGTTATGATGTTCCCACTGAGTAAAATACGTCCTTTGCCTCCACCGTTAAATCTTTTCCCTTGCATTTATTGAACGGGTAGTGTAATTTACTTGACACGCAGTTGATTTGAACGAAAGCAAAATGGCAACAACAAAAGAGAGAGAAAGAGATTGATGATAGTTTGACCGAGTTTAAAGAATTTGAAAATACAAACAATTTATTTTATATAAATGTAATCTTTTTCGAGCGGGAAAATACTTGTATTAGAACTCGTTCGTAGCGTCAAAATTCATTTTACCGGGGAAGAAATAAAGCGGCCGCAACTTTTTTATGGGAAAATGGAAACGTAATACCAAGATAATTTTTTCCTTCAATTAGGAGACAACGTGTTTCCGCTGTTATCAACTTCAGAAAATCAGAAGTTGAGAGAACGAATGTTATACCTTGTTTAAAAAGATAAATAAAAATAGCTCTTACTCCTTCTAAAAGTGCTCCGCGCTGTCTATATAAACTGATACTTATTCATATTCCAACACTATGTCGGCAGAAATATGAAAAGACAAACAATTTATTTTATATAAATGTAATCTTTTTCGAGCGGGAAAATACTTGTATTAGAACTCGTTCGTAGCGTCAAAATTCATTTTACCGGGGAAGAAATAAAGCGGCCGCAACTTTTTTATGGGAAAATGGAAACGTAATACCAAGATAATTTTTTCCTTCAATTAGGAGACAACGTGTTTCCGCTGTTATCAACTTCAGAAAATCAGAAGTTGAGAGAACGAATGTTATACCTTGTTTAAAAAGATAAATAAAAATAGCTCTTACTCCTTCTAAAAGTGCTCCGCGCTGTCTATATAAACTGATACTTATTCATATTCCAACACTATGTCGGCAGAAATATGAAAAGACAAACAAGTTATTTTATATAAATGTAATCTTTTTCGAGCGGGAAAATACTTGTATTAGAACTCGTTCGTAGCGTCAAAATTCATTTTACCGGGGAAGAAATAAAGCGGCCGCAACTTTTTTATGGGAAAATGGAAACGTAATACCAAGATAATTTTTTCCTTCAATTAGGAGACAACGTGTTTCCGCTGTTATCAACTTCAGAAAATCAGAAGTTGAGAGAACGAATGTTATACCTTGTTTAAAAAGATAAATAAAAATAGCTCTTACTCTTTCTAAAAGTGCTCCGCGCTGTCTATATAAACTGATACTTATTCATATTCCAACACTATGTCGGCAGAAATTTGAACAGACAAACAAGTTATTTTATATAAATGTAATCTTTTTCGAGCGGGAAAATATTTGTAGTAGAACTCGTTCGTAGCGTCAAAATTCATTTTACCGGGGAAGAAATAAAGCGGCCGCAACTTTTTTATGGGAAAATGGAAACGTAATACCAAGATAATTTTTTCCTTCAATTAGGAGACAACGTGTTTCCGTTGTTATCAATTTCAGAAAATCAGAAGTTGAGAGAACGAATGTTATACCTTGTTTAAAAACATAAATAAAAATAGCTCTTACTCCTTCTAAAAGTGCTCCGAGCTGTCTATATAAATATGATACTTATTCATATTCCAACACTATGTCGGCAGAAATTTGAAAAGACCAACAATTTATTTCATATAAATGCAATCTTTTTTCGAGCAGGAAAATACTTGTATTAAAACAAGCTCGTAGCGTCAAAATTCATTTTAACGGTTAAGAAATAAAGCGATCGTAACTTTTTTTTTAATTGGAAAATGGAAACGTAATTCCAAGAAATTTTTTCCCTTCAATTAGGAGACAACGTATTTCCGCTGTTATCAACTTCAGAAAATCAGAAGTTGAGAGAACGAATGTTATAGCCTGTTGCGCGCCGCGCTGTAGTCACTTTGGCAGGCATTTGAAGTCACGCAATTCTGATTAATCGCCAGCGTCTCGGGCATGCTTTTTAATCGCCCAATTCTCAAAAAGTCGATGCGATTTGCGCCTTTTGTCTAGAGAACAAAGGCGCATTCCAGAATGCATTCCAGAATGTGCGCATTCTGGAATGCCCCTTTGTTCTCTAGACAATAGGCGCAGGTCGCATCGATTTTTTGAGAATGTGGCTAGAATGGGGTCATTCCAGATACATTCCAGAAAGATTAACAAGGACATTCCGAATGCATTCCGAATGCCAGTTGAATAAATCCGTGGCGCCTAAGCAACCAGAGGACCGACGGTTTTAGGTCCTCTCCGAGAGACATGGTGATGGGGATTAATATCTTACCAAAGGGCACTAACCATTGCCTTGGTTTCAAACCGGGTCCCCGGATTACAAGACTACTGCTCTACCAACTGAGCTATCGTGCCTCCTCGAAAATGTAGTGTAAATGGTAAATGTAGTTTCAAACAGATTGGCTCATTTAAATCATTTTTTTTTGAGGCAAATTTGAACTTTATAAACAAACGTGAAAATGCAAAACAAATACCTGGTATATTTTCACTATTTTAGTCCTTTTTGTTACGGGGAAAGGGAGGTGGGTGGTAAATGCGCTACTTTTAGTAAACCGTAGATGGCATCAAATCACAGGCCATTTTATTGAAAATTAATCTTTTAATAACATGTTTTAATACGTGTACAAATTAATATCATATACAGTGTATAAGAAAGTAAGAATGTATGTAGCTATGAGCCTTTAACAAACAACCTCTTCAAAATGCAGAGGTGTTGTGGTCGAGTGGATACGTCGCCGGACTGTCGATCACAAGGTCCGCGGTTCGAGTCCCGCCACCGCACTAATGTCCTTTGGCAAGATATTGATCTACATTTGCCACACTCCACCCAGGTGAAGTAAATGGGTACCTGGTAGGAATTTATTCCTTGAAATGCTAGAGCGCTATAATGGCAGCACAGCTAAAGACAGGGTAATAACACTATGAATATGACAGACAAAGAAAGCGGACAAAATATACAGTTCCTCAGGTAGACAAAGGAACATCCCTTCACTGCTATTATGTAAAATGGTGAATATGCATGTGACACCTGTTCTACACATTTTTACATAATAGCAGTGAAGGGATGTTCCTTTGTCTGCCTGAGGAACTGTATATTTTGTCCGCTTTTTTGTCAGTCATGTTCATAGTGTAATATCCAAGTTTGGAAGCGCTTAGAGACTTATTGTGATTTGCGCTATATAAAAGCTGAATATTATTATTATTATTATTATTAAATACACTTTAACATCAAATTCTTACACATTTATTATTGTACATGTATGTATTATGTGCACACGTGTTATAATTCTGTTTAGGATCACATTCACCAATTTATTCTGTTTTGTTTTTCCAATCCATCATTGTGTCAACTCTCAAGTACGTCATTTTAACACCTTATATTGCTCACACAAAGCAAAAGGCCGCCAAAGGCAGCCCTTTCACAAGTATCTCATCAAATTGATAAAAAAAACAATTGATACATTTATGATACTTTCATACAATTTTTTTTCTTCATCATTTTTATTTGGTTGCAGACAACGACAGATGGTCTTCCCAAAATACTTGATATTATAGATGCAACCGGAAGTGGAGATGTGATTACATCAACTGTGGTAGAAGTAAGAGATGGAGAAATCACAGGACTGACTGGCAGGAAACTCAAGGTACTAGTCTCATCTGAATCATGATGGTTAAAGACACATACCCCCTGTCCACACGCAACATTTTCCGTGATTAGGTGTGATTAGCTATTCCGTTTCGTGATAGTTTTACAATGAAAATTGTGTGTGTGGACGCTCACTAACGATACGTCGTATAATGAAACTAGTCTAACGAAACGCAGGTTTGGGCATCGTTTCGAACTGAAACTCAATAAAGAATCACGCCTAATCACGCCTAATCACGGAAAATGTTGTGTGTGGACAGGGGGAGTGTAACTAGTGTAAACTAACTGGGCGGGGCTTAACGTGACCTCGAGCGAAAGGAGACCAGACCTCTCATTTTCGCTTCCATTTCATGACCGCAGTAGCAAAGTGCGCACCTATACGACATTTCGCTGTAGAGTTTCAGGATTACTTTCTTCTGTGTGTGGACATCCTGGAATTTATACAATGATTCTTTATATGACGTTTCGTTATAGAGTTTCGGGATAAATTTTTTTGTGTGTGGACACGCTGATAGTTGTAGGCTTTCATGGGGAATTCAACACCGATTGGGTGTTTAGCCAACAACAGGTGTGGTCAGTCACCAGGATTACCCTTCAGTTTTATGACTTACAGGCCTTATATAATGCTCTGCCTCTCGTCCCAATCGCCCCATATGGAGAAGAAAAAAACTTTATCTGGCATTTCCATCACCGGAACTTCCGGAAGACTTGAGTCTCTGAGAGACCGGGGGTATTTCTTGAAGGGAGCGTGGGTTTTGTGTGTGCAAGACTTGTGCATCGATTAATGTTATTATTTCCAAGTCTGGTGTCGGCAAATTATGACCAATAACACATGAAAGCCGACTACCATAGAATCTGGTCTAATGCCAAGCGCACATTACACGATCGTCCAGCTATCAAATTTTTGAACAAATGGCAATTATATTAGATATGGAAATGTAAACAAAAATCCTCTTCCTGATCTACTTTTGGAATGTTGATAAGAATACTAACAACATGAATTGTATAGCATTCAACTGTCCTAGTAGGATGAAACTGCTGGCATTCCCAGTCGATCTCAGCTCGGTTGACAGCACCACATGTATGTACATGTACATTTATTATGATCTTTCACAATTGCTATGGGTTAAACATGATTTTTAAATGACTTTTATTCAGAATTGCCAAAAAGAGAACTGAGTACATGTGTTTAATATCTGAATTTGTTTTTAAAAAATTCACATGTTAGTGCAAGAAGTTGAAGTTTCTTTTCTGTTCTGTTCTGTATCCAATCAGATCCCTTTGAATTGGGAAAATCCTTCCGGAAAATACCATATAGGAGTGAAGAATGCTTACGAACTTTATCCTAAGGGACTCAAGGAGAGAGTACAGGTAAGTTCACTTCCACTTTATTTGTTGATTTCTTTGATTGTAAAAACTTTTGTTGTAACTTTATGAAACTATGCACCCACTTCCATCACTTTCTGTCATTTCACATTTTTCATGTTAAATATTCATGGAACACAGAATGTGTATGAAGAGAAAAATGATCTTCATTGTTTTTTTTTCAGCTTATGTACATTTATGTAAAGTGTCTCTCTGTAGTTGGTTTCTTTTTTAATAAATGTATCACATGGTTGCCAACCATTACGTTTTTCCCAGAATTATTCTGTTTTTTCTTCAAAATTACCGTAGTACGTTTTTTATTCATAAAATACAAGTTTTTTGTTTGCACATACTGCAACGTCAACCAAATGCCCTAAAATGTTGACCAATACTTCAATAGAGATTTATAAAGAGTACAAATTTACAAATAAAAAACGAAAAAGAAAGAAGATAAAAAGTGAAAGGCATAATTATTCTCAAAAAAAATGAAACGTTGATAATACCAACAACAAAACTATAGGTCCTAATATTGAAATAGCGGCATGTTGAATGGACATTTCTGCATTGGAGGTGTGTCGCATGTGGTTGTAAGTTGTGTTTTAATGAATTCCTTTTTTCTTTGGTTGCACAAGGTTGGCAGCTCTGGTATTAATACATTTGACAAAAATTACCAAATAATACAGTGCACAACAAAAAGAACACCCTTTGAAAACATACTCCAAATTGATGATTTCCCAATACACTAAAAGTATTTACAATATTTTATACTTGAGTGAGCACTGGCTTCTTTAGAAAAAACTCATAAAAATAGGTTTGCTCAAAAAACGATTCATTCTTGATGGGTGCGAAGTGCTCATCAGACATCAATTGCTATTGCTCTGTAAATAAGCCAGTGCTCACTGAAGCGTAAAATATTGTCAATATTTTTAGTGCCATCCGATTGAATGAACCCTTACCAATAATTTTGGTAAGGAAATTTTAAGTCCTCTTTGAGGAACTTGGTATAATGAGGATTAATGCTTTACCACAGGGGCATGAGCGCATTGACTTTTTGAACCGGGGACCTCTGGGTTATGAGACTACTGCTCTACCACAGAGCCATTGCGCCCTCCTCCTTAAAAATAGCATGGCATTGACGTCAACTACTGTAAATCATGATTGAAATGATAGGATATCTGTAGCTGATGACTGTACATGATGAAAGGATTACTGGTAACCAATTGTTATGATGATTGTTTATTTTTATTTGTTATACCTACAGAAAGACAGGAAGGAGAAACTGTGGGATACATATCACAAACCTGCGATTGCTGAGGCAACCCGTAAGCTTGAAGCTTACGATGCTGCTCATCCGAATGTTACCAAGCAGGAAGAGAAGCTGGAGAGAGAGAACTTAGTAGCTATGTTAGATGTACTCAACAATGCAGATAAGAAGTACTCCGATCCTGGCCCAGTATATGACTGTCTTGTATTCAATGATGGCAACACTTGGAGGTACTTGCATTCAGCAGGGGTTTTAAATGAATTATGCTTGTATTATAATCAAATAAGATTATTTGTATAGTTGATATGATCCTGGTCATGGAATTAATTCATTTCGTCACCCAATGTGTACCATCTCCATCCCCTCCCTATTCAGTCAGTGAATTCCTCCCAAATATTTGGGAAAAGTTTGTTTGGGCTGAGAAGCTCTCTATTTTTCTTCCAAAACAGTAAAAGTTACTTCAATTGTGACGATTATATCCATTGCAAATATTTTTATTATGCCTCCGCTACAAAATAGCCGGAGGCATTATTTTTTTCTGGTTGTCCGTCTATCTGTACGTCCCGTTCTCGAGATCGTGTTATCTCAAGAACTGATTGATGGATTACCGCCACATTTAGGTCATGTATGAATCTTGCAGCGCTAATGAATTGATTAGATTTTGGGGTCACAAGGTCAAAGTTCAATTGTCACAGGGCTCATTATGTATGCAAAAATAGCTCGTGATCACGTTATCTCAAGAACCGATTGATATATTAGCGCCAAATTTGGGTCATGTATGTATCTTGCAGAGCCAATGAACTGATTAGATTTTAGGGTCTTGAGGTCAAAGGTCATGGGGCTCATGTATGCAAAAATAGCTTATGAATGTATTGTCAATACTGATAGATGGATTACTATCAAACTTGGGACATATATGTATCTTGCAGAGCCAATAAACTGATTAGATTTTAGGGTCATGAGGTCAAAGATCAACGGATCATAGGCCTACATGTATATGAAAAATAGCTTGCAATCTCGATATTTCTAAGAACCGGTTAATGGATTACCATCAAACTTGAATTTTTGTTAATTGCCTCAGTTTTGGTTTGTAAAATCGCTCTATGGTGGAGGCATCAGTTTCAACTGCATGCAGTCGAACATCCATCTTGTTTTTAAAAGGTCAGTTTATCTAATAATCAGCATCTTGATATGTCAATATCTCGTTCTTTAGAGTTCATTTATGACAATTGTTTAAACCTTGATGGCCACAGAAGGGGTTCATGTCTAACGCTGGCCATATGTTAAAAATGTTTACAATAGGTTAAATACAGATGACAATACACTGTACACTTTTTCTTTGTTATTATTGTTGGTAGAGCTGTGATAGATACTTCAGCATGCGGTGATCTCGCCTCCTGTACTGTACTAGCCAATTACAAAGAAGATCATCAGAAAGCTACACTCAGCAACCTTGGTATGTTTACTCAAATGATTTAAATCGGTTTCCTGATTTTTTTTTGATTTTTTTTTTTGTTGATTTTTTTCCCTATTTTTTCCCAACTTTTCTTACTCAAAAAGGGGAATGTTGATAGATGCCATTTCCCCCCCCCCCCGAATCCTCTTTTTTATTTTTTACTCAAGGGGGGGGGGGCATGGTTGAGGGGGGGGGAATTCAAATGAAATATTCTTACACACTATTAGCCATCTCAATTAGATAAGATATTTGCATGTATATTTTAATTGAATGCTGGTGTAATTTAATTGTAAAACATTTAGAAATAGTATTCAAGTGACTGAGCTTGTTGATGCAAATGGTATTTTGTTGACAAGAAATATGATTATCTGTGAATCTCTGGCTTAAGGATCACTAATTAGATTTAGGTAGAACCTAGACTTTACTATAACTGATCTATAAAAATATTGAAATGGTAGAAAAATACATGATGTATATATCGGACTTGTTTTTGCCTTCATTCAATGATAGCAGTCACATGTATCAGTTTACTGAATTAAGCTGGTACATATGATTTCAAATTTTGATTGAATTAAGAATTGCTAAACCAGGAAAAACTCATTCATCAGGAACACATAGAGCATACATTAAAACAAATATATTTATATGTAATATTTATGCTAATTATATTCACATTTGTATTTTGCTTCATACTTTGTATCAAAGCGCTTTATATTGTAATTATCATTACCCGGTCATTGGATTCAATTGCTAATCCGCACATGATGGTGCACATTCTCTGCTCCCTGGGGAGTATACCAGCCAGGCACACACTTACTAATCCAACCACATTAATGTTTGTATCCTTCATGGCACCCATTTATCACCTGGGTGGAGAGTGGTAAATGTAGATTAATGTCTTGCCAGAGGACATTTATGCCATGATCATACTAGCTCATTAATGCGTGCAGTCACATATGTTCTAGACAGTCAGTATTGAAGGCCCTATTTACTGTAAAAAGTATCTTCCATTAATCAGACTTTTTACTTTTGATTCATACTTTCTAGATATGCTGAACTATTCTGTGAACATCTACGATGATGGTAATGTCTTGAGCATCGTAACCAATGCTGGCTCCCATGGTACGCATGTAGCTGGTATTGCAGCAGCTCATTTCGCTGACAATCCGGAGAAGAATGGCATAGCTCCTGGTGCACAGATTGTAGCTATTAAGATCGGAGATTCACGCCTAGGATCTATGGAGACTGGTAGCGCTCTGGTCAGAGCGGTAAGTAGTGCTCTCTTTTCATATTTGATTATATCATGAGTATTAAAAGAGATATTTATATAAAATAATGGATTTATGGCTGAGATCATGAATCAATTAAATTTGAAAAGATATTTTTGTGATTTAAATCTTTTTTTCACTGCTTAAAGGCATTGTTTAACAATGTTTCCAGTTGTACAAATCTGAGATGCATGGCCCTACGTGTTATCAGCGTCTGTGATATGGTGTAATATTGAAGCCGTAACAAAAATTGTGCTTCAAAATGATCACGAAGTGCTTCAAAAAAGTAAAAATACTGTAGTGTTATAAAAAACCATTGGGGGAAAACTGTTTTTTTAATTTTAAATTCCAATCATAAATATCTTGATAATCAAAGAGGTGATTGGCTTTTAAAAGTCATGGGATTCATTTCTGACCTAAAGGTTCATAATTATGATTGCAGCATGAGCTAAATCCGGGATTTTGTTTAGAATCAGAGGCAAAGTTACCTACTATCTTTAATGTGGCAGAATATTGATTTGTGTGTTTGGTAGTTATAGGAAAACAGTTCAATATATAGTATATGTATATTCTTATTTCACCATTTCCATAATCTCTATGCGTATTATCTCCCTGTGTAGATGATAGCTGTGATAGAACACAAAGTTGACCTCGTCAATTTCAGCTACGGTGAGGCAGCCCACTGGCCGAATGGAGGGTAAGCTATCTTTTCTAAGTAAATAATCAAATTGTTTTGCTTAGGTCGGCTTGACACTAACACAAATTTCAGTCCTCCGCTGCGCTCTCATCATGCATACCAAGTTGAGAAATTTTGTGGCACACAGCCAGGTGAACAATATACAAATAATTCACAGCAGTGAGGGCATTAGTTAGAATTACCAGCACAAGGTACCTTTGGAACAAGTCTAACCAAGTGTGGATAATTTTACTAATGCCCGAACAAAATGATGTGTATTATTTGTTTTATAAGATTATGTTTTATTTGTTTTATTTAATGAAGTTTTTTTTGTTTTATGAAATGATGTTTTATAACGTGCTTTTACTAATGACCGGTCATTAGAATTGGATAATGACCGGTCATTATCCAAAATACGTGTTAGGCAAAATAAATGCCTGGTCACGTGTACGCTTTCAACCAATCATTTGATTACGATCCCCGTCATCATCTTGTAATACAATTGATACAACTCACTCCTAGATTCTAATAACATGGTTGGTCAAACGCAGTCATGTGTGATTCATTAACCGTGTCTATCTCACGTTTATTCATGAAAAAGCATACAATAGTTTCCAGTACTATCCAACAATGTTGATGTATGCGATGCACAGCAATGTGTGTAGATGTTAAGGCATGTTTACAGTGTGCGAGTGAATACATGCGTAGATTGTGACAATTTTCTTTGAATATCAAAATTCTGACCTGCACTTTTTCATTTACTGCACATGCCCATGAATACTTCATGCATACATGTAGCTGCCAACCATTCCTATTTTGGAGGAATTATTCCTCCTCTTTAGACCTCAAACTAATATTATCAATTTGAGATTCCTCTCTTTTGTCAAAAAGTATACAAAATGAGTGTAATCCTAATTCTGCCTTGGAAGGATTTTGCTTTGAAAGGTAGCCAGGTATGTTTATAGCTACTCCCCTCATTGTGATGCAATGACATGCCAAAGTGTGTCCCAATGCGTAAACCATTTTCATGCAACTCTCAATGCACCTCTACATCTAGAAAGATGAAGGCAAAAAGTATACTAATAGTGGATGAGATACCCAGAGATGCCAACCAGTACGATTAAATCATATTTAGTACGATAAGAAGAGTGAAATACGATAATACAAGATCAACTCTTAAAATTCGATTTTTCATCTTGAAAAAGAAAAAAAGGAAAAAACACATAAAAATAGCGGAATCGCATAAAAACATGTACAAGTAAACCCCCGCAATCCCAACAAAAACTTTGCTTTACAATTTTCTCATTAAATTTTAATGAAAGAGCAAACATTTTACTTGACTGTACTTACATGTACCAGTAAAACATTTTTCTGAAATTTTACTGGCTGGTGGCCGACGGGCCAGTGGTAGTGTCGAGTTTTCGCGAAAATCTGATTTTTCTCTCCATACTTACAGGTGTAGTCTGTTTTTTTGTGTCAAGAGGTTGGCATCTCTGGATACCATTATTGGTTTCCCTTTTTCCAATGGAAATATATCTTTTTTTTTCTGTTTTGTATTGTAGAAGAGTGTGTGACGTCATTTCAGAGGCAGTCAACAACCATGGCATCATATTTGTGTCATCCGCTGGTAATAACGGACCGGCGTTGTCTACTGTAGGATGTCCAGGGGGTACTACATCAAGTATTATTGGTAAGATCACTACCTCATTTTCACTTTTCTTCTTTAATCTAATTTTGTGGAGAACTTGAATGAAAGAATAGTGTGGATATTGTAAATAGTGCGTAAGTGTAACTCATTTGAAACTTAGACTTATACTTTTAATTAGAAATCAAGGAAGATTTTGTCAGTATTGAATGTTTGAAAACTGGTTTACTTTCCTGGTTGATACCAGTATAATTTTCATGGGGAATGAAGCATAACGAGGCATTATGAAGAAAAGCAGCTGTCTGTGCTGACCAGGTAGTTTGTCACTTTGTGCATGGTTTCTTAATGGGCCCAAGGTGAAGAAGCGCTTGCAAACAAGTATAAAGTACATTATGGAACTATGATCCTTCAATATATGTGAACGATTTGCCATGGGAAATGCCTAAGAAACTCATGCACATTCTGGGAACTTCTTTGTACTCTGTGGGGAGTTTGACATGATGAAACAATCCCTGGCTTCAAAAAAAAGAATTGGAAAACTCGGGCATGTTTTTACATGCCTCATGCCTCATGCCTCATGAGCCCAATAGATTCAGTATTGCTGCATTTGATGGCAAAATGTCTATACGCATCTAAGAAATCCACCCAAGTTTGATTGGTCCAACCTACTCGTATTGTTTTAAATTCTTCTTAAAGCTTGCATTTTGCATCACTGATGCTATGGTTCCTATAGAGTAGGTGCTTATACAGTATTTTGCAATGTGCAAGCTTAATCCCATCTTGAATGCATTGTGCTTTTTGAATTATGATCAAGCCAAACTTGCATTCTTTGTAGGTGTTGGAGCATATGTGTCGCCTGAAATGTCTGCAGCTGAATACTCGCTCAGGGAAAAGCTACCAGGAATGCCCTATACATGGTCATCAAGGGGTCCTACGTAAGTGATTTGATCATTTATTATGATAATGATAATAATATGCCTCTGTTAACCCAGGGTAGCCTCATTAGTTTTGGTGTGATATGGTGTAATATTGAAGCCCTTAAAAAATTGCGCTTCAAAATGATCAAGAAGTGCCTCAAAAAAAAAGGAATCTTTGAGTGACCGGTTTTACCATACTCGTTTTCCTCAATAGACTGTAGTGTTACAAAAAACATTAGGAAAACGAAACATTTGGTTTCGATTTTCAATGATAAATATCTTGATAATCAGACAGGCGATCGGCTTGTTAAGGTCATGGGGTTCCTCACTGACATAAAGGTTTATAATTATGATTGCAGCATGAGCTAAATCCAGGATTTTGTTTCAGAATCTGAGATAAAGTTACAGGATCCCTTTAATAATGTTCTCCTTGAGGGCCCTGCAATCATGTTATTACCCTGGCTTTAGCCATAATTCATATCTTGTTGATACAACAAATAAATTAACAACATAGTGAATCTGATGTAATAAACAGTTACAGTTAATAGCAACTTATTTGCAATCGATACAGATCTCAACTATGTAGGTACAAGATAGGGGACTGCAAACTTGCCATTGATTTGGATCAAGCGCAACTCTTTACAAGAGAGGGCCCTGCAATACCGCTTATCAATATCATCTTTTGATTTCAGTGTGGATGGTGCATTAGGAGTGAGCATATGTGCCCCTGGGGGCGCTATAACATCAGTACCAAACTGGACATTACGAGGTTCCCAGCTCATGAATGGTACCTCCATGTCCTCACCAAATGCTTGTGGAGGTATAGGTATGTATAAATAATCATTTTAGTTTAAGGGGAATAGAGGATGGGGTTCCCCCCCCCCCCCCCCCAATACAGTATGTGCTTCTTACTTTTAATTGAAATTCGATACATTTCTCATTGTATGTAGTTTCTATTTGTGTGTAGCCACTTAAGACTGATCTGAAATATTGATTTTTGGTAATATTAATGATATTCCGCATTTACATAGCACGTAATAAATCGATGATGTCTCTGAATGCTTTACAGCTATATCATTACCCCGAAAATTGGATTCAGGCTTCCCAGCACACATAGCATGTACATTCTCCACTCCCTGGGGAGCATTCCAACAAGGCGCAATTTTACAGTCGCTCACAATGCTGAGCTACATTAACATTTTCATCCTAACGGGTACCCATTTCACACCTAGGTGGAGAGTGGCAAATGTAGATTAACGTCTTGCCAAAGGAAGCTGGTGCTGGGCTGGGATTTGAACCCTGTAACCTGTCACAGTTGGGTGACTTATCCACTTGACCACAACACGTCCACCTTTAGTGTGAGCATAACAAGTTTTTGTCTCTTCTTCAATCAGGTCTAATTCTAAGTGGTTTGAAAAAGGAAGGTATAGCATATACACCCCACAGCATCAGGAGAGCTGTTGAAAGCACAGCACAGAGCTTGGACAATGTAGAACGCTTCTCACAAGGCTACGGTCTGCTTCAGGTAAACCAATCTCATTTAAATAGTATATCTCTCCAAAATGGACAATTCCTTATTCCTCATTTGGTATGTGCTCGAGTGAGAGGTTAATGTTTTAATAATATTATTCAGCTGAAATAATGTGGAAAGGTGAGCTTTGATAAGTTGTATGAAGGGGTAGTGTTTTGCAAATGAATATAATGCAGAACAGATGTGAAATTTGATTTCTTACATTTTTACCAAAATAAAGATTTGTTCATTTTGAAAAGATATACTTTTTTTACCAATGTATTTTTTGATTGTTATTCCCCAGAAATCTTTGATTTCAATCTTGGACCTGTATCACACCCCTTCTGTATTCATAAATTAATTTGCTGAGAACATTTTCTGACATTGCTAAAGAAATGTCCAGGATATTTGAGAGAATGTACAAATTCAGAAGTCTGTAGTACTGTGGTTTGCATCATGGTATTGGTGTTTTGTATTTCCTTTTTTTCGTCTTCCAACAGGTAATATGCAACGACTGAATTTACCAACCAGCGGCCCGCTTATTGGTTGAGCGCCTGTGTGCTTCGGCCAATAGGCTGTGTCCGTTATTGTTCTAATTATTTGACCAATGGCCTTCCCTAGAGTATAAAACACGCTTGCTTACATCATATTTTATCACCTGACGAAGTGTTGCAGCTGAGACAAACAAATATCACTAACAATATTATTTTCGATTCTACATCCGCAATGAGTAATGTATTTAGCACAATTGACTTGTTATTTAGGATAATACCATAAAATTTGAAAATGATTTTTAATAGAATCCCAATCATATATTCATTTGTTCAGGTTGTCCAAGCTTTTGAGTTTCTGCAGAAGTACTGTGATTGCCCTAGCCGGAATGTGAAGTTCAATGTATCATTCGATGGAGGACGAGGCATCTACCTCAGGGAGAATAACAAGGCGCGAGAATGCAATGTATCTATTGAACCAGAGTTCGTAGAGGGCACAGGTTAGAATCAATGGATTAGTTAATGTACAAGTTGCTTTCTGTCAATTTTCGTGAATCACCCACCAATCAGAAGTTAAATAGCATGCAGTAATGTTGCAACCGTTGCATTTCAGACCTTGAAATATGGGCATGTGTGCTTGTACTCTAAAGGGTATAATGCCCACCACCGGTATACGTACCATGCCGGTAGAGTATACAGTAATGTGCAGCACATCAGTACTGTCCTGCATATAGTATGCAGACAAAAACGGTTTTCTAACAGTGTAGACATAGTATAAGGCAGTAATTAAAAGCAGTCTACATTTCTATATCAGCATCTGCAATTGCACTACATTATATGGAGAATAGATATTGAGATTTAAAGCTTATCTGCCGTAGTTTACAGGAGGGATTAGACCGCTCTGCAAGGTCACTGGACAGGTGGTTATCTCATCAACTCAGCTCTCAATTAACATAAGAAAAAGAGGATCATGGGGGACCAATGGTCACCGATTAGGCATTGTTTGTTATATAGAGGGTGCAAGTAGCTACCAGTAGTGCAGTGGGCCTTTAAAGGTGCATGAGAATGTTGCATGACTGCCAACCACTTCTCTTTGTTGGACTTCAAGCTATTGTTTGAACCCTAGTTTCCTTTCTTTTTCTGAACTATTCTGTGTGAAAGTATGGATAATGGCGCTATATAAATCTTATGTATTATTATTATTATTATACAAAATAGACTGTATTCCTAATTTCAGCTCTGAAAGTTTGGCAGGTATAATGTGCTGCAAGAATTTGATGATACAGGTCATATGACCTGTATCATCAAATGTTGCAAAATTGAATGAAAAAAGGAGAAAATTTACACTTTACTCTTCTATATGGATGAGACCGTCATTGTTGGTCAAACAGTTTGTAACCCCTGGCTTGAATGCTGCCCAGGGAGTGGAGCAAGCACTGAAGCCAATGACCAGGGTAATAGTATATATTTGTAAATCGCTTAGAGACATTTGTATTAAGCGCTTTATAAAAGCTAAATATTATTATTATTATTATTCTAGTTGATATTCATTTCTTTGTAAATTCTTTTGTGTAGATCCTGCAGAGAAGATTGCATTCAATCTCCACATAGCCCTAGCAGTAGAGGCACCATGGGTTCAAGCACCAGCACACCTTGTCCTGATGAACACCTCAAGATCAGTCTCTATCAAGGTCGATCCTCAAGGTCTACCGGAGGGGGCACACTACACTGAGGTGAGGGTGATATCACCTTCATATAATATTGACTGGCCTTGAGGGAGATACCAGGAAATATTGCCTGTATTGAAAACATATTGATTGAGTCAAAGACGAGTTCAAAATGATTTCAGTAAGGGCAATATATTTCCTCCTATCTCCCGAAAGATAAGCTAGTCAATATTACAATTATTACGTATCTCTTTGTGAATCAGGAGAGGGTGCTGTACGGTTACTATACCCTACTACGGCGTCGCACGATTGTCTGCTCAAACTTTGCAGGGAATTATGCTGCTTGGAAGGTCAGGGATGTTATATGAGGCCAATACGTATCAGGCTCACTATTGAATACAAAGTCAATAGCGTAACCAGGAAGAGTGAAAATATCGGGGATTATATCCCTTATAGTAAGATTGTTGCATTAGTAAGTACACACAACATGAAAAAGAATAGTTTTACTAGAAAAGATGTTTCCTGCCGAATTGTTCATTTTTTATTGCTGACGTCACAAATAGTTCACCTTTTCCCAGGAAAAAGTGAACTATTTGTTTTTGGCGCTGTCTTGTCTCAACAAAAGTCCAGATTTTCTATTATCTCACAAGATGGTGTTTATTGTGTCTTTGACTTTCCATAAGTTTCTTTTCCAATATTTTGAATACCGCATAGGCCGCACCCCAACTTTGACATTTCAAAGAGGGGGGAAAAAAAAGAGAAAAAAGGGGAAAAAAACAAACGGACAAAACAAAATGATCAAAATTTAACTAATTTTCTCGTAAAACGCTATGTTTTTTTTACAAACTGATACCAAATTCATCAATATTCTTATAATTTACCGGAAGTTTAGCTCAAAAAGTGATCGCGGGCAGATTTGGTGTCCGATATATACCCCTACCACAATGTACGGCGTAATGCGAGACTGCATGAAATGGAAAACGAAATGGCGACTTCGGATGGATGCTTCGCGGCAGCTTCGTTAAATGGTCCCTTCCTTTACTTTTGCAATACATTGGCACGAACTTAGATCAAGATCTATCTGCAAATGTTGGTTTAGCAATTTATTTTCATATTCATGTCAACAATGCAAGATAAAATTGTCGGTAAGATGTGTGGAAATGTCCTGTACCATAGTGGTAAAGTTATTGTACCGTTCGTAGTCCCATATGTGCAAATTCGTGCTGGTTTTGACTTGAGTTTTTTCTTTGTTTACTCTTTCGCCGTAAAGGCCGCACCCCGACTTTTTGATATTTTCTCTTCCAAAAATACTGTGGCCTTTACGCCGGCAAGTACGGTATATGTTTATTTCGTTAGCAACAGAAGACTTCAGAAATGTTTAATAGTGTATCAAACATTAAAACACAGCTGGCAAAAACTAGTAGTGATAGCTTTAATGAATAATAATAATACTTAGCTTTTATATAGCGCTTAATACAATGTTTTTAAGCGCTTTACAAATATAATGTTACCCTCGTCATTGGATTCAGTACTTGCCCACACACACTGTGTGCACAATCTCCACCCCCTGGGGAGCATTCCAGCCAGGCGTTACTTGACGCTTAAAAAATTTTGACCAACAATGACAGTCTCATCCTACCGGTACCCATTTAACACCTATTTGTGCATGTTTGTACATATTTGTTTCTGTTAGGTGTGTGGTTTTGACCTGACTCAACCTGCTAAAGGACCACTCTTCAGGATACCAGTGACTGTGATAGTACCTCAAGACCTCAACGGTCAGATTGATGTGGAGTGGAATGACAAAGAATTCAAATCTGGCCAGATTAGAAGACAGTTTGTCAGGGTACCTCAAGGAGCTACGTGGGCAGGTAAAGCACAACTCTTTCCCTTAGAGGTCCAGTCAAAGCTATTTTGTCCACTACATCTACAGGGATGCCAGTGTTCAGGCCCTGGCGAGTTATTTTTAGGCCATAGTTTAGGCTTTTTTGTGTACAAAATAGCTTATTATAGGTGATTTTCAGGCCCTCTGATCAATTCTAACTGGCATCCCTGCATCTAGAATGTCAAGAATATCTGATGACTGCATCAAGTTGATAGCCATACTAAAATTTGAATCAGACAAAACATCAAATAAAACGATATGTTATGTCACTTTATGTTAACAGTTCCAATGCTATTCAGTAATACTTTTACAAGTGACAGTCTAATTTGAACTAATCATGGGACTAGAAGTTAAGTGTACCAATCGTCAAAAAGTGTTTAGTTCTGTATATTTAGGGTTCCATGTTGCAATACTACTATTTATCCAAGATATGAGCTCCAAATATTGCTGGCACAGAACCCAAGTCGGACTTGGATGCAGGCCTTTTTGCAGAGTTTTATGTTATTCTTTAACGTCTTCATACTCGTTATCAATTAACCTTTAGAATGCCAGGTAATTTTGTTTTGATGTTTTATTTCACACATTCTACCTTTACTGAAATGTGATTGGTGCACTTCAAGCCTCTAAAAACAAAATGTTTGTGTTCATGTTTGATAATATGTACCTTTTGTTTGTTAATCAAAGTAAATATTAGTATGTCAGTGGTGCAACTTTGTTTCAAACTATGTACAGTTGTGCAATGCTGTACAAATTGATCTCCCTTATGCATATAGGCGTGAAGAAAATGGTCTAGGAACGTGAGACGTAGCTGTACTTTACAATTTTATTACGAGCTTTCGGCTTGTGAGGCCTTCTTCAGGTTCTGAAGTGCAAACACATACAGAAACAAATACATTGTATGAACAGATATACATGGCATACAAACTTATTATCACTCAATCATAGTCAAGTATCATGAACATAGCAAAAATTAGTACGTTGTGAAAATAACTAGGGCTATTCAGGCCTAAACTTCAAGTAATCAGAGATTCTGAAATCTGAATTAGCTATCCTTCATGTTTCAACAAACTGATGGTGTGCCAGATCGTGAGTTAATTTTGTGTTTAAAAAATTCTTTCCTTTTCCCAGAGATCAGTATAACATCATTAGAGCGAGAGCAGTCTTCACGGTTCGTCCTCCACACCATACAGCTGCAGCCTCAGACAGCCTACAGAAACAATGAATTCTACAAGTTCCTTTCGCTGCAAGAGCAGTGTGAGGTCCAGCACTCCTTCGCTGTCCATGGTGGCCAGATCATGGAGTTCACCGTAGCTAAGTGGTGGGCTAGCTTGGGAAGATCAAGGGTCAAGTATAGTCTATCATTTCATGGGCTACAACCTTCTCAGAAGACAGTGCAAATGGTGAGTCACTTTACTAACAGTCTTTACCCAGATAAAGTATGGTTAGTCACTTTACTAACAGTCTTTACTCTTAAAGATAAAGTATGGTCAGTCACTTTACTAACAGCCTTTACTCTTAAAGATAAAGTATGTTTAGTCACTTTACTAACAGTTATCACTCTTAAAGCCTGTCTGCACTAGTTTGGCCAGGAGAGATTAGAGCTCCAAGCGTGGTCACTGATAGGGGGTTATCTCATCAAATAAGCTCTCAATTAACATAAGAAAAGGTGGATTATGGGGGACCAATGGTACCGCTTAGGCATTGATTGCTATATAGAGGGCGCAGGTAGCTACAAGTGGTACAGTCCCGCTTTACCTTCTCAGAAGACAGTGCAAATGGTGAGTCACTTTACTAACAGTCTTTACCCTTAAAGATAAAGTATGGTGAGTCACTTTACTAACAGTCTGTACCCTTAAAGATAAAGTATGGTGAGTCACTTTACTAACAGTCTTTACCCTTAAAGATAAAGTATGGTGAGTCACTTTACTAACAGTCTTTACCCTTAAATATAAAGTATGGTGAGTCACTTTACTAACAGTCTTTACCCTTAAAGATAAAGTATGGTTAGTCACTTCACTAACAGTCTTTACCCTTAAAGATAAAGTATGGTGAGTCACTTTACTAACAGTCTTTACCCTTAAAGATAAAGTATGGTGAGTCACTTTACTAACAGTCTTTACCCTTAAAGATAAAGTATGGTGAGTCACTTTACTAACAGTCTTTACCCTTAAATATAAAGTATGGTGAGTCACTTTACTAACAGTCTTTACCCTTAAAGATAAAGTATGGTTAGTCACTTCACTAACAGTCTTTACCCTTAAAGATAAAGTATGGTGAGTCACTTTACTAACAGTCTTTACCCTTAAAGATAAAGTATGGTGAGTCACTTTACGAACAGTCTTTACCCTTAAAGATAAAGATAAAGTATGGTGAGTCACTTTACTAACAGTCTTTACCCTTAAAGATAAAGTATGGTTAGTCACTTTACTAACAGTCTTTACCCTTAAAGATAAAGTAAGGTGAGTCACTTTACTAACAGTCTATACTTTTAAAGATAAAGTATGGTTAATCACTTTACTAACAGTCTTTACTCTTAAAGATAAAGTGGACTTATAGTCATTGCAATAGACCGGTTTACTTTCATATTCAAATTTATGGAAGTTTTTTCCTGAGGACCTAGTGACAAGGGATTCCATTAATTGATTAACCTGTTATTAATGAATGAACTATAATACTTGGAATCCGGTCCACATGCATTACTTGTTGCTATGTCGGCTTTCAGGTTTTAAAGAACAACCTTTCTTCAAAAAGTATGCATACAATTTAAATATGTTAGTAAACCAGTCTATTGCAATGTGGAAGCGATGGAAATTGTGCTCATGTGGCACATAAGTATTGGTGTATACTGTGAGGCTTAGAATCATCAAAATGATAGAGAAATCTTTTACTCGCATGCTGGAATGCTTACAGAATACACAGCATCGGGGTCTTGAGTTTGTCCAGTCTCACCACCCTATCAACTTGAAGCAATTGCACATACAGTCAAACCTGCTTTAGTGACCACCTGTCTACAAAGACCAGATTTTTTGTTTCCCTTGAAAATGGTTTCTCATTGAAACATGTACTAAAGGAACCTGTCTACAAAAAACACTTTGTGTGTTTCCCTTTGGTGGACACTATAGACAGGCCCTCAGGGAGAACAGTATGAATACTGATGAGGCTATATTGGGTAAACAAGACATATTATTATTATTATTATTATTATTACATGTGTATCTATCCACACTGGGCAGAAGGTGCAGCATTCAAAACCATTGCAAAACACTTGACATTGACAAATATTCTTCTAATAAATTTAAGTTTGCCAGTTTGACTGTTTTTTTATTTTTTTAATTTTACCCTCTTTGTGAGTGATCATACAAATAATACACATCAGTGATGGGCATTATTGCCTCGGGCATGTTAGACTGTTCCAAATGTACCTCGTGCAGGTAATTTTACTAATGCCGAAACAAAATGATGTGTATTATTTGTTTCATCAGATTATGTTTTATTTGTTTTATAAAACGATGTTTTATATTAACATGATTTTGATAATGACCGGTCATTATCCAAATTATGCGTTAGGCAAAATAAATGCCTGGTCATGTGTACGCTTTCAACCAATCATTTGATTAGGATCCACGTCATCATTTTATAATTATTAATATTTCTGTATTGTGTTTTGACAGCATGCTGCTAACGGAGTACGGAGGATATATGTGAAGTCAACACTCAGGGTACAGGAGCTTTGTCCATCCATATCTATCAAGAATTGTGTGCAACCTCTCAGGTAAGGAAAACCAGTCAGTGATACAGCTGTCCCATGTTGCATGAACTACACTGGCTCCCAGTTGCTGATAGAATACAATACCGGATACTTGTTCAAACTTTCAAATCTATGTCGACCACCCTTCCTGTATATATTTCCTCACTCTTTCAGCAACAGAGAACATCCTATTCTCTTTAGGTCTTCATCAGCTCCTACCTTTGTCATTCCCAAATCCCGTAAACAGGCTGGTTTCAAATCCTTTCAGTCCTTAGCCCCACGTCTCTGGAGCAAACTCCCCTCGTTCTTAAGAAACGGTACTTCACTAGATTTCTTCAAAAAACAACTGAAAACTTACCTGTACAACTCCTCTTAAATTGTTGATAGTCTAAGAGACAGCGCCTTGTATCCTTTGGAAAAGGCACTATATAAATCTTATCATTATTATTATTATTATTATATTGTCTACTCGGTAAAAAAAGGAAAGTGGACACTCTTGAAGAGGAATAGAAGTGCGCTTTCATGGGGAACTTTACACTATTCGAGGGGGGGGGGTACCCAATAACAGGTGCTGTCAATCACCAGGATTAACCTTAAGTTTTTATGACTGCCAGGGTTTATGTAATGCTCTGCCTTTTCCTCCCATTCGCCCATATGGTAAAGTTCTTATCACACATTTCCATTACCTGAAGACTAGGGTTTCTATGTGGATTGGACTACAGGTTTGCTGTGTGCAGACTTGTACACCCATTAATGGTATTTCCACCAAGTCTGGTGTCTGCAAATTATGACCTTTTGCACATAGAAACAGATGACCCTCTCCCTTTGATTTTCTCTACAAACTGTCAATAAAATATAAGAAAATCATTTAAGTTCAAGTTTTAAACTTCCATGCTTGGATGGGCACATTAATTTAACCGTTATAAGGTCTGATTAAGAAAATTGCACAAGTAATGATAATATTACATATTTTTATAGCACACATATCCACCACACAAGATGCTAATGGCAGAGCTGCTAACCATTACGTTTTATCTTTTTTTTTTCCTCAAAATTATGGTAATACTTTATTTGCACAAACCGCACATCAACCAAATGCCCTAAAAATACTACTTAAAAAGAAATCTTCTGTAGAGAATTATGAAGAGTACGAATTTACAAATAGGAAACGAAAAAGAAAGATAACAAAAGTGAAAGGCATATTTATTCTCACAAAGAATGAAACGCTGATAATGCAAAAAAAACTAACTACTTGTAAATGAAATATAGGTCCTAATATGGAAATAACAGCATGAGGAATGGACATTTGTGCATTTGAAGTGTGTCAGGCAGGCATGATTGTAAGTTAAGTTTTAATGAGTTCCGTTTTTTGGTTGCACAAGGTTGGCGGCTCTGTTAAGGTTCTCCACTATTACCCCGGCTCTGCTAGCCTACCTATATTAATGCTCACTGCATTCAGGCAATTTCTTACTACCGGTACCCATTTAACACCTGGGTGGAGAGTGGCAAATGTAGTAGGATTGTACAAGTATTACATAGTTAAATCTTTTAATGTGACCTATGATTCTGTTTGACTCTTTACAGGCCTAATGAATGCGAGTTGCGCCCTCTTGGTTCAAGGGATGTATTACCAAAGGGCAGGCAAATCTATGAACTCATCCTGACCTATAACTTCCATCAGGTAACTGATTACGTTTCCTCAGTATAATGTTGCATGTACCGTATTTCAAATGTGAGTATTGTGTAATCGTAGTGAAATAGATTAATTTGGAAATGAAAATTTCTTTTTTATGTAAAGTGATTATTGCAAGTTTTTCAAGGCAAGACTATGTTATTGTTTCTCTGTTAGCAATCTACACAATGTTATTATTATGATAGTCCCCTCATTGTTCAAATCATTTTTATTTTTACCAATTTCAAAATTAAGTGACTAAATTTTATAAATCAAATGTAGGACTAGTATTTATTTTAAGGGTACTTGCTAGCTCTGATTGAATTTTTACATGTAATGAAAGACAATTAGAGAGTTGATAATTTCCACTGACCTTGCAGGTTTATTTATCCAAGGTTAGTGGAACAGTGGTGTTTCCTGCATTATCCACAGCTAAGCATAATAATAATAATAATTAAACAGTGCTTATAAATTGCTTTCCAGCGAAGTCTCTAAGCGCTATGGAAAATGTTTATGTGCACATATTCGCAATAAGGAAGCCATTATTAGAAATATAATTTTTTTTTTTTTTTTTTTTTTTTTTTTTAAATAAGAAAAGTAGATCAGTACTATTTCATTTGCAGAGCTGACACATATTGTTCCCATATGTATGTAAAACATCTGAGATCACACCCAACTGCCCCTTGCTGAGTGATCTGTTGTATGAATCTGAGTATGATCACATTATAATGTGTTCTTTGATTGCCTTTTTTTACAGAGTAAAACGTCTGAGATCACACCCAACTGCCCCTTGCTGAGTGATCTGTTGTATGAATCTGAGTATGAGAGTCAGCTCTGGATGCTGTTTGATGGCAACAAACGTTACATGGGATCAGGTGACGCCTACCCACATCAGGTAATAATCACCTCTCTTTAGGCTGTGTTACATGCAGTTTTCCCGATCCAACTTGAATTATCTAGATAATAGTTATCTAGACAATTAACTTACGTAGGTGACAGACAGGCTACAAATTATCCAGATAATTGATGGGCCAGTGCGCATGTACCGTTTTGGTAGATAAGCATCACACGTTCAATAAAAAGTAATGCGCGATTAGCGCGTCTCATTTAATGCGCGTTTATATAATTGAGCGCAGGTTATGATAGCGCATTAACAACCATATGCCAGCCAATCATAAGTCAAACATTGACCTTACACTGACCTATAAAGAGGATTATTTCAACATTGGTGACAGGCAGAAAACTCCCGCCAAAAAATCTCGTGAAAAATCCTTTCAAGGGAGAATTTTCTTGTTTCCTTATAGGATTTTTCACAGGATTTTTCGCAGGATATTGATGACAGACAGCCAATTTTCTAGATAACCATTATCTAGATAACTGGCTCTGTCTGGCACCGCCTTTTATCTATCTTGCATTGTACCAAGAACCAAGACAGTCCGTGAATTCTTTACCATCCCACCACAATTTTGAATCAATGTCGGGGTTGTTTTATTTTATTGAAACTTGTTGCTATGTTCTTAACAATTAGTCAGTTATGTTCCTTTAGATGATGTAATTCATCAGGATAGCTATGAGGAATTGAACATGCTTGAACAAAATAAGTGATATATTTATATAATATTGGCTGCTCTTGAGTTGTATATCAGATATATTGTATTCAGCTTGTGAATATTGCACGGGTTAAAGACGAGTTCAATATTCATGCTGGGGTATGCATGCTAGGGTATGCATACCCACATCAGGTAATAATCTTTTGCTTCACCATTTTATTACAATTTTTATTCAATTTTATGTCTATGTACATGTATACCAGGAATGGAAAACAGATCTTCTTTGATGAAATTTGGATTGTGGTTATGCAAAACTTTTTAACTCCTCCCCGTTCTTACAAATTTCTAAGCTATGTATCTCTAAATGGTCATCAAGGATTAGTCATCCAATTAATTCTCAGGAATTGTACATGTTTAAACAAAATAAGTGATATATTAACCATTGTTTTACAAAAATTAATTGGTTTGTGAAAACCATTTCTCCTGAAATTCATAGAATTATTTTCTTCATGACCATTTAATCAATCGGTAACTATGTGCAGGTCACAGTATTTTGTTTTTCTTTACTAGGTTACAAAGATTAAAGGATAATTATTGGGGTTGCTATACTGTTTTTATAGTTTTGCATTGTCCCTTATTTTGTTCTAAATGATTTTGATTTTGTAATTTATTAGCTTGATTATTTCTTATCCCAACCACGCTGGGGATTAGCCTTTGATAGACCTTGGGCCTAAGCTAGTCCCCCCACATAATACAGTACTCAAGTATCATGTTAAGAATGTATCTTTCTTTATTCCATGTTTATGTTAATATAAATTGTAATAATTCAATGTTTTTTTGCATTGTTGTACACATTTTACCCAGCTGTTTTTTTTTGTTAGTTTTGTGGAACTAAAATGAATTGAATCCACAGAAAACAGTATTTAACTACTGATGGAGCCACCCTACTAAAAAAAGACTAATTAATCACTGTTTATCATGATTGGATATTGAGAGGCGTATTTGTTGTTGTGTTTGTGATTACAGTACACATTGAAGCTTGACAAGGGAGACTACACACTGCGCCTTCAGGTCAGACATGATAGGAAGGAGATGCTAGATAAACTCAAGGACATGGTACTACTCATAGATCAGAAGCTCTCATCCAGTCTATCTGTCGACGTCTATCAAACAGTCAATGGTGCCCTCAACGGCAAAGCTAAGTTTGGTTCCACCATGACTGTACCACGAGGTGGCTCCGTTCCTGTCTTTGTACCACCAATACCCGATGACAAACTACCAAAGGGTGCCAGCTTGGGACAGATTCTAACGGGACAAGTCACATTCGCAAAGAGTGAGCTCGGGAAGAAGGTAAGAAAACCAAACAAGTCATTTTTCGGGTTACTTTTTCATTTTCAATTAGGTCCTGTTCTGTATTCTAAACAGGACTGTGCTTTAAAGATAAAGTTGAGTTCTGGTCATTCGATTGCATTGTGAAAGAAACGTCGATCGTCTAGCATATAAGTATTGATGTGTACTGCAAGGTTCTGGAATCATCGAAATGATAAGAAATTTGGGCCAGTCTTGGTCAAGTTACAAGCACTGTACACAGAAAGATTTATATGGGACTACACAAACATATGGCATAAAAGTCCGTCCAGATTTGTATGCTGTTACATGCCATATTTAGAATATTAAGGCATTTGAAGAACCATGCTGTTCAGGGAACATTTTTTATCCCATGTTCTTCCACACTTGCATAATACATTTGTAGCAATGAAAATGCTCACAAATTGTTTTTCACCTCTTCCCAGAACTCAACTTTCTCTTTAAGTCAAATTTTCACCTCTTGAAAGTTTTTCTTACAATGGTCTAAAAAGTTGGCTCTTGGCACTGAAAACTTGTCTGTGTAATATTCAGGGATTTCCAGTTTAATTGCATTTTATAACAAGAAAATTTGCTACCCTCGAATAATTTTACAATAAAATTAAAAAATGGGTCAAATCTGATCTGCAGGCCAAAATGTCAATGAACTTTCATTGAAAAACACTGTACCTGCAATAATTGTCTATATCTTTGAGGTAGGGTACATCTCTTGAAGGTGTCGGCCAAGTTTAAAAAATGGGTCAAATCTGACCAAGGTCAAAGATCACAAGGTCAACAGTTTCATCAAACCTTATATGTACCTTATGAGAACCATTAGGTGTGGGTCACCAGGTCAATAGTTATATCAGATGAGGAACATTTTCCTTGAGGGATATTGCTTCGGAGGCGGAGACACATTTCTTAAATACAGAGAGCTGAATCTTTCTAGATTGCTTTGTTATTTTTTGTACGAATATTGGTTTCCTCACTTGTATAGAGTAAAGTTCGAGATAGCATTCTAAAGTGATGTCCTCCAAGTTTCCAAGGATAAAGTCTATGCGATATTGCCATTATTACTAAGTGTAAACTGCCGGAACTAAAGTTGACATCCTGAACTGCTGAAAGCCTGAAATGGCATATATTTCATATGAGCGAGACGTAGGTGAGACAGCACTTGGCGTTTGTCGTGTCATTCATTGCACTCACGTCTACTCCACCAGCAGGCATACAATGACAAGTTCCAATCTAGTTGCGCAAGTTGGCTACTCCATAGTTGTTAACTAGATATTTTTACTTGGCTCCTACGACCTACTTGTTGTTGGCAACTAGCTTTAAGGTTTTATGATGAATATGGGCCCAAGGGCAGTATTCTGAACCTTGTGTTATCTCTAATATTGTTGTATCTTTGAGATAAGATAAAGTTGGTATTCTGAAAATTGTTGCAACATATGGTAACAGACTCCACAAAATTTGCGTCCAGCCTCCTCACAAAACTTTGAAATGGCTATCTGTTTACACGAGGTAAGTATATTCGAGTAAACAAAAACTAAAAGTGAACAAAGCTGCAGATCAACATCAATAACATTAAAAACAAAAAAACATGTATGTACATGAAAAGAACGTAAACAAAAGGATAACACATAATTATAAATACTGAAATAACAAACAATATACAAACAATGTTCTGCACCTCTCACATGAATTGAATAAAAACGTCAGTAGAGAAAAGAAAACAGAAAAATCAAATAAAGAGTATAGAGCAATTGCTTGGGAAAAAGAAAAGTTGTTCCATTAGAAAGTGTGAACAAAGATTGGAATTTCACACATGTATACTGAACAGCATCATGTTTATTTGCTGAAGAATGGTAGACCTCCAGCGCCTCGCCCTTTCCCTGCGTAAGCTGTGGGTGCTCTTATAGATCGCATGCATTCTGCTTTGAGAGAGTCGAGAGGCTCGGCTCTCATTCTCGGTGCTGTGGAATTGACTCCAGCGCCGAAGAATCAGGTCTTGGAGTCTCAGAACCAAAGTGTTCGAGTAGTCCACTCTCTAGAGATTGGAATCGACTCCTTATTGGTTCTGAATTTCAGATTCGGGAAGAATCAGGTACTCGGTCCAAGTGATTGGCTGGAATGCTTCCCTTGGGAGTGGAGAGTGTGTACTGGAAAGTGCAGAATAGTAATAAAGTCCAATGATCTGGTTTATAACATTGTACCTCCAGTAAACATATGAAACAGTTGTTATTTTACACGTTATACAGATACAGATAAGGTTGCAACCACATCACCAGATTTCGTGTGAAGTACATTGTAGACATTGTTAGTTTGATTCCCAAAGGGAAAAACTGTGGCAAATAGAACTACATGTAGCTGTCCACTTGTAACGGAGATCATCAAAATGTAGCATGAAAAACAAGCAAAAACATGAATTTGTTACCTTGGCCGAATGATATTTCAAGACATTCATGTGATTAAAATCAGTAATTGGGAACATGCATGTTGATTGCAAATGTTAACTATTGCTCAGTTAACTTTATTGTAGCATGGATTTTTCTTGGACGAATTAACATTTGTTGTGGGCTTGATGTTTATTTTAATTCTAAAGTGTGCATTCTAATATGCTGTAACTGACATTTATGTGAACTCAGTCTGTCAGTCGCCAATGCTCGATCTGATTTGCATGATTGTCAATACATTTAATGCCTGCTGAGTATGTTTTGAGGTGACATGTGTTGTACCCTCATTTCCATTTGGCCTTTAACCTTTTGACCTTTTGTAGGTAAAGGGCAAGAGAGGTCATGCAGCAGGCTTGGGGTCAGAGGGCAAACGGAACTTGGGATTAAAGCCTGTAAGTCTATACTACAGAAAATAATTCAGTTTTTTTTTTTAAGTTAAAAGTTTACATGATGAAATTTAGTACAGCCACACTGTTTCTTGAAACTCCTGACATACTATTTTAATTAAAACTCAAAGATGTATGACTATTATAATATTGGTATGAGATTTTTTTCTTCCCCCATTAGAAAGTGGAAACAGATGAAAGTATTTGTGCATGGCTTGATTTTTTTGGGAAGATTTTAGGTAATTGAAAGTGATTTTGTCAGAAATACTTCAAAGTTATATGAAATGGAACTTAGCGGGTATTCAGAATTTATTTGTTCTATATAGATTTAACAAAAAAGTTTGCCAGATACTCCAATTGAAGTGCTCACCTATGCATGTAAATCTTTAGGATAACAAAGTCGTTATACATTGAGGTGTGTTGCATGAGCCTATCCTCTTATTCATGTGGTCCTGTCTTGGTACTTATCATTTTCTGTTGATATATATGTGTGTCCATTTACCACTAAACCATGTGTAGTATTCTGCATGACAAGGGATGGAATTTAATTTAATAATTGGATGTAATTTATTCAACCAAATGCTTGTTAAAGCAAAACATACAATAGAAACTAGAATACATAAAGCATACAAAATACAAAGCAAATATATGGCCAGGACCACAAAGAAGCAAATTGATTATAAATAGGGGCCCCATATAAAACACATAATATTAAATATGATACAGTCACCATACCAACACACACACACATACACATACATACAAAATACTGCATACACATGTACCCACACAAAATTATATTCACATGTCAGTCTGACAGCCAAGAATGAGTGGGTATAAAATGATGAAGATGAGCTTTTAAAGTGCAAAATAGACTAGAAAGTCTCTCTTTGCAGTTCTGTACAGCTATATAACGAAATACAGATTTGTACAGATTAATTCCTGTAGAAGAGGAAAAAAGATAACTGACTAAGGTATGGTATTGATATATTGATAAATAATGTGTGGGAAAAGCATACTATGTTATAAGTGATATGATACTGCTAGGCCAGAGTCTTAAAGGCATTGTTTAACAATGCCAAATCTGAGATGCATGGCCCTACGTGTTATCAGCGTCTGTGATATGGTGCAATATTGAAGCCCTAAAAAATTGCACTTCAAAATGATCATGAAGTGCCTTAAAAAAGTAAAAATCTTTGAGTGACCGGTTTTACCATACTCATTTTCCGCAATAGACTGTAGTGTAATAAAAACCATTGGGAAAACTGTTTTTGAAATTTCGAATTCCAATCATAAATATCTTGATATTCAGACTGCCAATCGACTTGTAAACATCATGGGATCAGTGAAAAAAAAAGATACATGGGGGCTCGGGGGTGAAATAGCCCCCGAATTGCCCAAAAGAGCTGAAAATCAGAAAAGAGCCCTGTAAATTTGCATAGAGTTCATTGCAAAACAAATTGTAGAATGTTATTTTCATGCAGACAAGCTTGAAAAGTAGCCCCCGAAAAAAAAAAAAAAAAATCCCTAGATGGGATTCATTTCTGACCTAAAGGTTTATAATTATGATTGCAGCATGAGCTGAATCCAGGACTTTGATTAGAATCTGAGACAAAGATACCTAATCAGACTATTACTTACTGGCTTGGTAGCACTTAAGTCGATTCGAGAAACTACATGTAACACAGTAACAGTCATTATTTTCCCACTTAAAGACATTTTCAAGCCCCCTTTTTTTGTTAGGGAAGTTGTAAATTAGTATTATTTTTCAAATGCCGATGGAATTTAATCTTTTCATTTTTGGGCCTGCAAATGGGATGTAGTACCTTTAATTTAAAACACATTTAAGTTCTACCTCCTTTATCACTTATTTTAAACTCCTACACTGGCTTATGTATGTGAGCCACAATATTTGGTAGTCTTAATCAGACAGGGGGCCAAGCCCTGTTTGATTTCAAGTTTACTTTGAAGTCTTTTTTGGTTCGTTGATGTTTTAAGCCCGTTTTGCACTGTTAAAGATAAAACATCCTTGTAGCTCAACTCATTAGTGCAGGTATTGCAAAAGCACTAATGATCAACTTGTATATCCCTTGTATGAACTGTTCATGGGTTAGTATCTTAACCCTACATGTATATACATGTAGCCGGGCTATTTTGAAACTGCATAGCCGGGGGGGCTTATTTGGCCCGCCCCTAAGATCCTGGCTGTGAAATGGCTGATCGCCACGTAAATTTGCATGCATGTCAAGTTAAGTGTATAGAATGCTATGGTAATTTCAACAACGATAAAATTCACTCATTTGCATATTTATGGTAATTTTTGCAATTAAGGTCATAAAATTCACATTTTTACCCATAAATCATATATTCTTTGTATTTAAACATTTTTCTGTACATATATTCTTTAAACCATTTAGAATAATAATATAACAAAAAAAATTGAAAGAGCTAGGTTCTTCCTTATGTTAACTATTGTTTTGATAATTTCGTATCTATTTCTCTGTTTTTTTAACATACGGTTTGTATTTTATTGTTTTTGTTGTTTTTTTCATTTCTACCGGTAACTATAATTCAACTTTTTTGACTCCCAAAAAAAACACCTAAACCATAGATAAGACCAAATTACCAATGTTTTAACTTTTTTTTCGGAAAAATGATATTTCCATATGTTTTGTACACAAATCACATAAATGAGCAATTTTCGGGCTGACATGCAAAGACCAAATGTCTCATGACTTTATAATGGTTGGTCCGATTTTCAAAAACTTTGTTTAAAAAAATAATGCATACATTTTCAGCGCAAGATTTTTTTGGCGTTAAAAAATTATCACGAAAAATGTAAAGGCAACCCTATGATGCAGTAAACCCTCAGAAAATAACTACTGCATTTTTCGTAAACATGAAAATGAATGGTACTGTGCAAAACAAACTGTTTATGCATATTCACTTGACTTTGTGTTTTGATACATAGAACAACTAAATGCATTAAACTCAAGTCATAAAAATATCTGACACAGTTTACCAGGTCATATCTGAAAGAGACTTTAATGTGGCATAATTTTGTTGGTATGTCTCTTCAATATCCTCCCTAGAGGCCCATTCTGAAAAGAGATTGTAAACCACTTAATGAAAAAAGTATCGTCCTATGACATACAGAATCAATAATGAGCATGCATAGGGGTTATTGCACTTGCAGCTTTTGCCACTTGTCATTCATGCAAACATTTGTAACATTTTTTATTAATTTATAAACTTTTGTTAACCCTTTTATTTATGAACAGGACTAAGCTTTATAAATATGGGATACACTATTGCATTGTGTTTCAAAGACATACTGGCTGCTCTCAATGTCATTTGATTATAGAGTCACTAGAAATGTTTCATTAGCTATCAAGCACATTTTAACAAGATCCATGACCTTGTAATGAACAGTAATCATATTGGAACTATAGGCGGTGTCACACAGAGGCCAAAAATCTGGATTTTAGTTATCCTGATTCTAGTTATCCTCTCAATTGCTGTCTGTCATCAATTATCCCTTCAAAAATCCACTAACGAAGCAAGAAAATTCTCCCTTGAAAGGATTTTTTGAGGGATTTTTCTGTGTGACACCCCCTATTGTGTAACATAACAGATGTCCCTTTTCTTTTTCTTTATTTCTCCAGGACACCTATCCATTTGTGTATGTGTTGACTCAATCACCACACAAGGCCCATCTACCCAAACCAGAGAAATCTGCCAAAGAAAAGGAGAAGACTAAAGAAGAGGAGTTTGCAGAAGCAACGAGGGATATGAAGATCAGCTGGCTATCAAAGTAAGTTCCTTGTTATAGACCACTTATTAACATCTTCAAACTTGATGCATACTGTTTAAAAAAAAGGTTGTTCTTGACAATGTGAAAGCTTGCCTGAGCCATGCCCGACATATTGTATTGTATTTTATTCATTCATAACAGGTTAATGCAAATCTCATCACTAGGTCCCCAGGAAAGAAACATCCATAAATTTGAATATGTTCGTAAACAGGTCTGTTCAACCATCATGTTTTGGTACATTTTGGTTTGGTGTTCATATTTTGTAAATATGACAGTTGAGCTACAGCACTGCTTGTCCTTGTCCTGTTCAACTCAATGCAACCAGACCTCATTGTGACATTGACATGTGAATGAGCATTCTTGGAGGTAATTTGGCTCAGTAGGTAAAGTATCTGCCTGTTGTACAAGAGATCATAGGTTCAAATCCAGCCCAGGGCTTCGTTTTATAAATCAAATATCAATTCGAATCGAAAAAATTTGAGTTTGCTTAGTTACAAGCATACACATGATTTCTTAGCAGTTAGATAAAACAAATAGACAAACAAATTCATGACTCATTCGGCATTATAGAATTGATCTATTGACTCGCCTTTGAGTTGATTTCTTCAACCATTATGATCATGTTATCCCAATTAAAGCTAAGATACTTCACTACTCAATAAATGGAGACTCTTAAGAAGATTAGCTATGGTGCTTTTGGTTAAGAATAATGAGAACATTCCTTTTTATTTCTCCTTTTTTTCCCCTTTTTCTTTAACATTTAACAAAATGTCTATTTTGTTGTTTGTTTGTGTATCATCAGACTTGAAGGTGATGAGCTTTACAAGGAGCTTAGTGAGCAGTATCCCACCCATCTACCTCTCTATGTTGCTCAATTGAACAAGAAAGAAAATCAGAAGGTAATACCATCAACGAACACAGGGAAATATGCTGAACCTTACTTAGGCATACATGTAGCTATTTCTCAATGAAAGGAGTATTGACTTGTCAGGAGTCAACTCCCGTAGTTGGATTTTGCACAAAAAAACTATTATAATTTTGGAATAAATGTATTACATAATTTTTTAATTAAAAAAAATGATGACTATTTAGTATGAAAACAGTGTATGTATATTATTTTCTGTGTCTGGCATATGCGTAAAGGAAATAGCAGGTGAAACTTGCATTATAATTTACTTGATATTTTAAAATCAAACACGATACAGAGTAGTAGAATGATGGGTTATCTTTTGCAAATTGATGCAACATTGGCCATTGATTTTAGAAGTTGAGTGATACCTCTTCTACCCTTTAATCCTCGTTCATATATGAAGGGGTAAACCTTGTCAGATATGAAGGGGTAAACCTTGTCAGATATGAAGGGGTAAACCTTGTCAGATATGAAGGGGTAAACCTTGTCAGATATGAAGGGGTAAACCTTGTCAGATATAAAGGGGTAAACCTTGTCAGATATGAAGGGGTAAACCTTGTCAGATATTTCTAGGGTGACATAAGTGTAATACGCTTCACACTTCAGTGAATACACGCTGGACCTCTCTCTGTTGCGTGCAGTTGCCATTCTTTTACACATTACAAAAAAAAACTGTTAAGGTTTACCACTTTCTTTATGAACGAGCCTGTAATGCCTTAAAATGAAAACAAAAATTATTTACTGAAACTTACTTTATTTATGCATGTACAGTTAACAACTAAATTTGTCATACCCTTACCAAGTTTTGTCAATTCTTAAGTATGTGAAAAATAGATTTGTTCTCATTTATGTGACATCTTAAAGCTGACATCTAAAAGTATTCAACAAAGGCCCTAATTCAACCACTCTATATTTCATTTTCTGGGCTGAAGAAAAACAATCAAAACATCTAATTTACATAGGGTATGAATAATTTTGTTGACAATTTTTATTTTGAGTGTGATCTCATTGTCTTTACCTGAAGAGAAAGTAAAGTTACGTCCTTGAATTTAGAAGGGAAGCTCTAAATGTTGTTCTTTTCTTTGCGTAGGAGAGAAGCAAAAACCTTCAAGACATCGTAGAAGCTGCCAATCAGGTTGTTTCTTTGATTGACCAATCCGAGTTGGCTATGTTTGTCGCAGTAAAGAATGACACAAGACCGGATGCTGTCAGCATAAAACAGTAAGTTGGTGTTACTGCTAGAAATTCTGCATCTATTTCTGCCTTTGCCATTCGTTTTTATTGTCATTCCATCCATGCTTTTTCTTCTGTATATCTGTGTTTTATGATTGCAACTTCATCTTAGATCCCCTTTAAAATCAATAATAATGTAGATTTATATAGCGCTTAATACAAAATGCCGTCTCCAATAGCTTTACAGATTTAATTACCCCGGACACCTGATTCATTCACGCACAATGTGCACCATCTCCACTCCCTGGGGAGTAATCCTACCGTATGGTCACCGTGAGGGAATATTTCAATTCAATTCAATTCAATTTATTCATGTTTCCAACAAAACATGACAAGTCAATTATACGCATTTAAAACAAATGTAAGAAATACATGTTAGAAACAGAGGGGTCCACTAAATGCAATGCTTGTACAATATCAAGATATAAAAAGAATTAATAAAATGTTAAAAAATGTATATAATTTCAAAACTCAAATGATATACTAGCAATTACTAACACAAATGCATTTGTCATCCTACCAGGTCCCCATTTCACTCCTGGGTATGGAGTGGCAAATGTAGATTAATGCCTTGCTAAAGGACTTAAGTCACATAAGATCAAAATGTTTTCTTGCTTATTTGAACAAAAGATGGCTCACCACACCTTAAATAGAACCTGGTGGAAACCACCTTTGATAGTATAGATATATTGACTGCTATGAGAGGCATCGCTATTTCTGTAGGCTCAAAGGGAAGTTACATCCTGCTATGACCCCGAAGCGAAAGCCAGTTTAGAAACAGCTATGCTTCCAATATTGCTAAAATCATGACTCCAATTTCGACCAATTGGATGACTAGATTTATTGAACATACTAAAGAGAGGTATAACTTGCAATATGTGTATACTGTTACATGCCAACTCCATGTGTTCAATAAATCCATTCTTTCATTCATTCATTTAACTTTGACTGATTCACTTGAATTTTGAGCTTGTCAAAGTTGATGACATTTGAGGCTCATGAAGTAAACTATTGAATGGTGATATAAATTTAGAGATCAAGACAAAATATTTTTACCAAAACATGTTCTGAACAACTAATGCAATTTTAAACCCAAATTGACTACCGGTATAGGAAAATTAAATAGTCCCATAGTTTTCGCTGATGATATTCTGATGGCTTTTCAATCTTATGGTTACTAGGGAAATGGAGAAGCAGAAACATCATCTTGTATCAGCACTATGTCTAAAGGGTGTTGCTCTGGCAGATCAGCTTCTAGCTGCAGCTGAGTCAAACCAAGTAGAAAAGGATTCTTCTACTGCCATCACTACCACAGCCGCCACCGCCGCCATTGCCACCGCCACCACTTCATCTACAACACCTACCACATCCACAACAACATCAGTCACTGTACCATCAGAAGTCAGCTCTTCAACATGTCCTGATGAAGACATGGCACTCAGAGATGAAATGGAACATACTTATACAGAACTCTTGAAATGGGCTGATGCGGAAGAAAAAAAGGTATTTTAGCCCCTGATATCGTTTATTTTCTTCTGATAGATATGATAGATTGGCATTTTTCATCTAGGACATTCATAATAAAAATAATATTCAGCTTTTATATAGCGCTTAATACAATGTCTCTAAGCGCTTTACAAATATACTATTTACCCCAGTCATTGGATTCAGTGCTTGCCCGCACACTTTGTGTGCACAATCTCCACTCGCTGGGAGCATTCCAGCCAGGCGTTACTTGACGCTCAAAAACTGTTTGACCATGTAGATATGATTAGCCATTTAGGGGGTCGCACCTGTTTCTGTGGTTCAAAGTCTAAGTTATTCATGATAATGAGGTGCTCTTCCCTTTTATCTCTTTCTCTTCTTACCATTGATAACTATTGAATTATAGTCAAACCTGCTTAAGCGACTACCTGTCTGTATAAAAGACCACTGATGGTTACTCATTGAATTCTGTACTAAAGGAACCTGTACATAAAGACCACCTGCCTGTAAAGACCACTTTTCAGGTTTCTCTTGAGTGGTCTTTACATACAAGTTTCATTGTATATAATAATGAATGTAATACAGTCAATCCTGCTTTAGTGACCACCTGTCTACAACAAGCACATTGTTTGTTTCCCTTGAAAATGGTTTCTCATTGAAACATGTACTAAAGGAACCTGTCTGTCTACAAAGACCACTTTTTGTGTTTCCCTTGGGCGGTCGCTGTAGACAGGTTTGACTGTAATAATAGGCATTTATATAGCGCCGTCTATCTAGACGATTCTATTCAGAGGTGCACAAGAAAAATAGAAAGAATAAGAGAGTTTGGATGAGTTTCATGCACATTTATATTCACCTCATTTTGTGTGAATTTTCAGTTTTCTTTGCTTATGCAATAATACAAAATCCTACCTGTAGCTATACTATGATTGTATCTATGATTGTATCTACGATTGTATCTATCTATGATTGTATCTATGACTGTATCTATGATTGTATCTACAATTGTATCTACGACTGTATCTACGACTGTATCTACGGCTGTATCTACGACTGTATCTATGATTGTATCTATGATTGTATCTATGATTGTATCTATCTATGATTGTATCTATGATTGTATCTATCTATGATTGTATCTATCTATGATTGTATCTATCTAGGATTGTATCTAGGATTGTATCTATCTATGATTGTATCTATCTAGGATTGTATCTACGATTTTATCTATGATTGTTGTTTTGTGTAGGTGTTACTCTTCACTACAAGACATGCTCAGGTCAGCAAACACAAAGGACGAAGACTCAAGTGCATGCTCAAACAACAAGAGATGGAATCTAGACCTACTAAGGATGGTGAACTTAGGATTATAGAGGTATGTATGCTGCTCATGATGATAATTGCTTTTGATATTGTTGTTGTTGATTTTGTAATAAGCCAGTTCACGGTTGCAGTCTGAGCATGTGCAGATATAGGTCATTGCAGAAAAAAAATTGAAATACATGGAGACGAAATACTGAATACGTGCTCATGAAAGTTATGTCATCATTATTGATTCATGCACAAGCAGTGCACTCCATGATACATCGGTAGAAGTATTCTTTGAAAAGGAGAAACAAAGGCGATTTATATAGCACCTCCATCGCTGTAGGAGTGATTATATCAAAATGTACAAAGTGGGACCTCTTCATGTTTTGAAAATCTGTGGATATTTGGGGTCATTGCAGTAATGTGCTAACTGTGAGCTGGTCTATTGCTGTGCGATGATGATTCTATTTGATATGATAGCATGCTTTAGGAAAACTTTTATGATACAGTGGAACCTCGTTATAACGAAGTCCTTGGGACCATGGAATTGACCTTGTTATATGAGGGTACAAAAACAAAAGAATATAAAGCACTGGATCCAGCAAAATCACCTTGTTATAACAGATACCTTGTTACATCAGAGCGCTTTATAACGAGGTTCCACTGTACTTCTTGAAAATTGATTATTTAGACTTTCTGGATATTTGCCTATTGGAAATTTGTCATGCTTCATTTTTGGTTTTCTTTCAATAGGTGTACAAGTCTTTAGGATGGGATCACATTGTAGAACATGCTGTCAACTGGCTTCCTGTCAAGTACCCACCCAACTTCATCTCGTTCTAAACTTGTTTCAAGATTACATCTGTCAGGGGTTGATGATTCAATGCTGCAAGCAAGATGTTCCCCTCACCCAATATTCTACTTCAGTCATCATTACAGTGCCATCTCATTCAAACAGTTGAGATCAGTGTTACTCATTGCTTAGATGGTTGGAAAAGAAGATGATAATGGTCAAAAACATCTTCTAATAAATGAAGAAAATGAGTGTAATAATCACATGTAAAGTGTGTAAATGTGAGAATGTCTTTTTGTGAATGATAGTTAAATATAAACATATTTAAATGACAAACATGTTAGAAGCTAGAGTGATCTATACATAATTTTACATAGATAGGACAAACTGGTTAAGATGCAGTACTTTGATTATAGAGTGTAAATCTCTTTTTACATTTGCTCTATATTTATTGTAACATTTTTTCTCATCTCAGGATTTTGTGTAGTATCAAGGAACAGTATTGTCTCCACCACGAAGACACACACATTAATTTGCTGTAAACAAGGTTCTATTTCAAACTTTCTTCAATCTGCGAAATTGTTCTTTGTGGGTTTTTTTACCTTGATTTTATTTTGTATTGTATATATCTTAATGTTATAAATAATGTCCTTCCATTGCATAGACAGATTTATGCTTTTCTTTTTCCACTGAGGCATTGAATGCATGTTTTTATTGAATATCCAGAAACTTGACTTTACTTTTACTAGCTTCACTGAGAGTATGATGTTGTATTATGTAGTTTTTAAATGGAGAGGTCCTAGGATTGATTGACAGGACTTCAGCTTAGCTCTCAATCTGATACCACGTACACATAGTATTCAAGCATTTTTTATTTGTTTTAATTCTATCTTCATTTTTATTTTTAGGGGAGGGGGGAGTTTTCATGTAATATAATGACATAAGGTTCCTATGTAACATATTGGATTATCATTTTATATGACACATATTCTCCTAGACTCCAGTCAGAGCAAGTTGAGTCTGGTATACAATTGGGTATATTCTTCATTTGTATAGGTTTAGGATAGGTCTCTTGTGATTGTTGTCTTTCTAGTCCGTGCATGTCACAATTTATACCAGGTTAGATTTTTAAAATTTATATATTTGTAGACTAGTCAAGAAAGTGTAGGAAAATCTATTTAAAGACGAATTTTGATGTGGAATGTAGCTTTAAAGAGTGAATGTGGGTTTTATTTTCCAGTGACAATCATTTTGTTTCAGCTAGTAAAGAAAATTGTGGAAGAATACTTAGAAGCGAGACATGTGTTCCATATTCTTGTAAGGTATTTCACAATGGTGCGACTACTTCAACTACCACAACCTCTACAAAACATGCATACTAAAATGATGTCAGCATGGTCTCTCATTTTGCATTTATTATATACAGCACTGAAAAGCATTTATAAAAAGGAAGAGTTCTGACATTTTCCTTGACCAGCATCATGATTCTGGCAATATGTTTCATAGTTCTACTTAGCCTGCATGAAATTATCTTGGCCATTCGACCTGTATTTCATTATATCTGTTTTGCCAAAATTCTGCCAAAATCTGGAATTGCATTGAAAAGGTAATTTTCTCACTATACAGGGTGTACCTGAAAAAAAGGAAACAAAATTTCAAAGATAATTTACTCAAGAATCCCAAACTACATGTTATCATTTCTCTTCTTTCATATGGCAGTAATGATATGATCAATGAATCACACATGAACGATTTCAGACCAGACAGTCCTAAGTTGCAGTGTTGGGAATACAATCATCAAAAGTAAGCAAATGGCTTTATCTTTTAATTCATTAATTATTTAAAGAATAGGAAATGAGTCTGATGATTAATTTGTGTAAATGCACATGATTCAAAAGTTTATATTCTAATCTCTCACATGTTACCTTAATTATAATGGAAGGATCATGCATGACCAATGAGACACAATTTGTAATCGGTATTAAAGACACATGGTTGAGGTCTCATATATGCAAGATGAAAATATGAGTTTTGAAAAGATGTATATATTTTAACATTTTATTAATTCAAAATCATTTTATATCTTGATATTGGACAATTTGGGTTACTAACACTGTCACAACATGCTGTCTGTTACTGGTCATGTGTGATTTATTGATAATGTTTTTAGTGTGAAAGAAGAGAAAATAGGCTTTTCAATCATGTGCATATTTACTGAGAAATAATTTGGATTTATCAAGTAATTCATCTGTAATCTTGGGTTTCCTTTTTTCAGGGACACCCTATCTTATTATTATGATGATGAATGCTGTATGTTACATCAATGAAGGAGACCCTTTTTATTAGGCCAAAGTAATGTGTTATGTTTTTTTAAAGAGTCCTTTGAAAGTTAACAAAAAAATTACTGGGCTTTCGTGATAAATACTTCTGCTTCAATTGCCTAAACTGTCTGTGCATTATGCAATATGTTTTCATATTTAGAGTTATCCATCATCTGCTTCTCTGTTCTTTACAACCCATTGTACTCAAAATTGTCCATACTTTAAACAGCAGTTCTACTATTTGTGGCCTACTTGTATGTTCATTTGTTAGGGCACCAAATGTGATGACATCTTACAGTTATATGAGATGTGTAGAAGTTTTGTTAGTTATCCTCAGTCAAGAAAAAATAATTTTTATGAAAAACTGTGTGATCTATGATAAATGCTGTTCTAGATTTTGTAGGTGTGTTCATTTTGGAACTATTTAAGGACTCCTAGTGTTATCGTTTCGTGGATACTTCCATTTTCTATTTACTGAAAATCAGATGTGACTCATCTTGTTCTTGTGTTATATGATTTCTACATTTTGTTTACATTTATTATATGCAATTGTTGTTACTGAAATCGTGTATGTTTTTCTGATGTGCATTCCTTGTCAGATGTGGCATGATAATACATAGTAGGTTTTTGTTGTAGAACTTTGTTTTTCCTATGAGAAACAAATGTTTTACTAACCAAATCTAGATATTGTGTATATTTTGTTTGTGCATGCTTAATGGCCTCTTTTTCAATCAAATGTTATTAAATCATATTAAAACAAATTAGGTTTTGGGACTAGAGGTTCTATATGTGCAGTTGACCTTCTTTGCCTACTTGTTCAGATATTGTCAAAACTAACAATTAAACTCTCAGCAATCTGTGAAATTGCATCAAAATGATCAAAATGATAACCCTATATAATTTTCCATTTGCTTTATATTTTGTTTGGCTCTGTTTAATAGTAAGTAAACAAACCAATTTTTCTTACGTTTGCATGACATTTATGTATCCCAGAATGTAAGTTTGAATTTTTCTTTTGTCTAACACCCTAGCTCTTTGGATATTTTAAGCAAAATACTATATCCACTACCATGTGAAAAAATACATTTGCCATAGTTAGTTGGAAGATTACAAAACATTACCATACACATGTGAGTTAAAGACACATAGATGCCTATATGACTTGTTATAAAGTACAGGAAATCTCTTTCAGTTTTTGTTTTTATCAATCAAGATGTCACATGAATTGAAAGTCATTTGGTATTAATACAAAACTGGAAGATTATGAAGTGAGAGAAACACACAAAGTTTCAACTGGAAAGTTCTTTCCAAGAATGATTGAAAATGGGATATAAACCTCTTCATCAGATTGTCATGATCAAATTGTCCCCTAACCTGGGCCCCGTTTCATAAAACTTGTTATCAAGAACAAGTGCAACAGATCTGTGACAAATCTGCTCATAGCCAATCAAATGTAAGGATTTCAGTAGCTTATAACAATTATTGTAACTTGTTATAGATAGCAAGTTTTATGAAACAGGACCCAGAACCAACTTTCTCTTGAAGGCAACCCTAATTGAAAGGGTAATACACCTGGGAGGTGTTTCACAAAGATCCTAAGTCGAACTTATCTCTAAGTTGGACTTAAAAGTTATGGAAAGCCATTAGCATCCTTGAAAATATTTTGTAAAAGTTACTTTAAAAGGCATAAAATGTCGATCAAATCATTCGTATTTTCTATTATCATGGGAGATTTCATGTTCTTGATGTGGAATTTATGGAAAGTCTAAAATACTTGATTTTTCGCTTTTGAATATATTTTATTTTAAGGCTACAAATGGCTCTCCATAACTTTTAAGTTCAACTTAGAGTTAAGTTCGACTTAGAATCTTTGTGAAACACCCCCCTGTTTGGAGATGGAAGAGCACTTGTTTACTTTAACACATAGTCAATACCCTTCTGCCTGCCTCGAAATAGATGAACATCCATGTGTAATATGTGTATGATTATAATGGAAGTATTGTGACAGCTTCACTGATTTAAACCAAACTTCATCTTGCAAATAGGTAGAGTTAAGATGCAAGGAATGTTGGTTATTCTAGGCATTTTAGGAGATGTAACCAATTCTTAAAGATTACTTTGAAATGGAGCACTTTGTAAGCATGTTAAGGTGTCTTCCATAATGACATAAAGTGAATGATTACAGGGTCCTTGCAGTAAAGATTTCTCCCATTATATTGTATTTATTTTATTCTTGAAATCGTCTTTTTAATATTGATTTTTTTTTTTATATAAACATTTTTTAAATTAAAATGATATGTAAAGGCAATCTAATGAAAGCAAAAGCAAGTGAGGGTTTCGTCACCGAACACCACAAAAATATATAGTTGGAGCAGAATAGTATTGTATAGACTCTACATGTAGTTGATAGCTGAAGAAACTTACCTCATTAAATTGGAGTTGAAATAGGACAGTGCCTTTTCTTTCAAATTTGGTTCTAAAGTCATGTTCTGTGATGTAAGTTGATTCAGAGTGTTAATTAAAGGGACCATTCACCAAAAATATTGTGCTTTGTATGTTTACGGTTCCATGGCAGTATATTCTCTTCATACTATCAGGTTTAAATATTATTTCTCCAAAGAGACATTGCAAGTTTGCGAAAACTGAAATAAAGAATCAAAGTAAAGGTGAAGCAACTTGTGAGTCCACCAATCTTATTTATACTCACACACATGAACACACAAGGTAATTCTGCAGGCTTTAATATGAAATCGATATTAATAATAACAAAATTATCTCGGCAAGAATTTTTGGATGACCGGTTCCCTTTAATGAAACTAATTTTCATTAAATATTGTTCAATATTAAATGTCCACTAGTAAACTTGTGTGAGTTAAAATGTATATAGAGTAGGAAAGATAGGAACTTAATGGCTGCATACACAAATCCATTTATTCATGTGAAGAGTTCCAATAAGTAGTTGGTGGGTTTAGCAAACATTGTACTGACCTGTATTCACGGTGGTCGTATAGACCTTGTTTGGCTGTATGACGTTATGTGGAATAGAGATGATTATATGTTCATGTTCTTAGTCTATTGTGAGTAAATAAAGACGTCTAACTCTGATGCAGAAGATGTGTCTGTCTTGTCCTATTAATGGAACTTTAAAGGTAAAGATCAGTTCTGGTCGAGCGATTGCATTGTGAAAAAAACGTTGTGGAAGCGATCAGAAAAGGTTGATCATCTAGCATATAAGTATTGGTGTGTACTGCAAGGTTCTGGAATAATCAAAATGATAAGAAATTGGCCCAGTCTTCGTAAAGTTACAAGCACTGTACACAGAAAGATGTATATGGGATTAGCGACACTTGCGTGACACGTACGCGATATCTATCAGGTCCAAATAGATATAATAATATTACCAAATATATCAATAAGTAGGCAGTTTCCCTGCAAAATTTGTATCATCGTGTATTACGGTAGTCATTATTCTTTCACATGTGTGGTAATGAGAGCTTCCATTTAATTTTTTGAGAGGAGTGCGCTTCCAAAACCGGTCTTTACCTTGAACTCTATGTGAGATCTGGTAATTGTCTGGCTTGGGAGCCTTCTAACCACTTTTCAGAGAGTTCACTATAGACTGATGGACAAGAGAGCAACACTTTCCTATCTTCCCTCCCTTATTTAGTTATTTGGTTTGTGTTTCTTGTGGGATGTAGGTCTCATGGACCTTCCACAGTAGCATACGCAGGATTATTTAAAGGGGGGGGTCTTAACATTTTTAAATAGGGACGGAAATTTCACAACGACTCGGCCAGCCACTGAATAAGCTGGGGGGGGGGGGGGTAGGGGTAAGAGAACAATTTTTTTTTTCCAAAAAAATTCGCAACGACTCAGCCAGCCGCTGAATAAGCTGGAGGGGGGGGGGGGGGTAGGAGGACCCTTTTTTCTTTTTTTTTTTTCCCCCAAAAATCGTAACGACTTAGCCAGCTGCTGAATAAGCGGGAGGGAGGGGGTATGAGGGCTTTTTTGGGGGGGTCTCAAAATTTGAAAATTTGACCCCCCCCCCCCCCCCCTGCGTACGTGCCTGACCTTCAGTAACCTTTAACAAGATCGGTCCATCAATCTTTGGTGCTTGCAAAGACTATTGCACACGTTTCTATATGTAAAAATGTCAGAGGTTAAAATGCAGGAGGTGTAATGCAGGAGTTAAAAATGCCAGAGGTAACGATGTGGAGGTAAGGGAGAACTCTACACCATCGAATTCCTTAGACATGTTTCCATTTTGCACACGGTTCTGTGTAAAAATATGAGAGGTTAAAATGCCAGAGGTAGAGGTAAAAACCAGTCAGTCTTTTTCCCATTTAATCTACAATCCACAAGCTCTATATAATCATTTTGGTGATTATATTATTATACATTATTTAAACATATTTGTGGCTTACACCCAGTAAATAAGATTGATTGATCGATCTTATTTACTGGGTGTAAGCCACAAATATGTTTAAATAATTGAAATTTCTCCCAGGAAGTATTACATTTATGACAAATTATGATACATGTTTAAATGATTATTAGACCAGATAGTAGATAAAATGGACATTAGACCGACTGAAAATTAGACTAAATGAGACTTATTGGAGATTAGACGAAATAAATATTTGCCTAAATGGTCATTCGACCAAATGATAGGTACCGGTAAACGAAATGTTCATTAGACCAATTGGGTAGTAAACGAACTGGTTGTAGACCAAATGGCAATACACCGATATGAGGCATAATGATACGCGGATGAATGTGAATGTTTCCCCTGCAGATCGACATTATGCTCCATAACTGATTCATCACGCGTTACAAAATTCCTGGCGATAGCACTTTTATTGTTGAATGAGATTTTAGTTCTATTAAAACCATATCAAAACTTAAGGAGGGTGATTGACTCGGTACATAAAAACTAATTTTTCTGATACTGCATCAATATTCGGTTTCCAATGAATCCGTTAGATACTACAATATTGAAGCAATAAAATTAATTCATGAGTGCACATTTTTACCTCTATACAGTTTTTACGTCTGACTTTTTTACCTCTGATATATTCATACCTCTGACATGTTTTGCTCTGATATATTTACCTCTTACGTTTTTCCCTCTGATGTTTTTACCTCGTGACATATTTACCTCCGATGTTCTGCGTGGCTCCGTTACACCCTTACTATTTTTTTGCTAAACTGACATCAAAACAGCAAAAAAGATTATATTCTCTACCAAATTGTTTCCCTCGATCTGTACGTGCTTCTAGATACGAGAGGAGTTCAATAATAAGTTCACAGCCCTGCTATGAAGGAGCAGGTAATCGGTGACTTTCCCATCACATATTTAATTTCATCAAAACCCCCACCCATAGGTTTTAGAGCAGCCGTTCAAATTGGAGTGCCTGAGACTTCAACTTTGGCGCAATTAAGTCGATTTTTTCACTCTCGCAAACAATACCTCGTGTTCATCCAAGCGTGAACACATTCCACACAAAAATTATACTAAATGATTTGGGATAAAACAATAAATAATAATTTACTGTTTATAGATGTGTGTTTTTTTTAATAATAATTAGCAATTTTCTAGGTGTAAACTTTTTTTTGGACTCGCATTGTATGGCAAACCCGGTCCCCCGTGACCCCCTTTTTAATTGAGAGCTGATTTGATGAGATAAACAACTGTCAGTGACCATGCAGGGAGGTCTAATCCCTCCTGGCCAAACTAGTGCAGAGGGGCTTTAAGGGAAATATAATCTAGATAGCAAACTACTTTAAAGGTACTAGGTCCCATTTGCAGGCCAAAAATGAAAAGGTTTAATTCGAACGGCATTTGAAAGACAATACTAATTTAGAACTTCCCTAAAAAAAGGGGGAATTGAAAATGTCTTTAAGTGGGAAAATATTGACTATTAGTTGTCAAATCGATTTAGGAGTTAAAGAGCCAGTAAGTAATAGTCTGATTTTTCAGACCATTGTACCGAATGGTCGTACGTTTTATGCTGCGCATAGATTCAATCAGTTTAATTTTGGCCATTACAATAAGTGGGTTATTGATGTTGACAAATGTTCATGTACCCTTTACAGCTCATTTTATGTATGTTATTACCAAAGATGAAAAAGGCCAGTCAGTCACTCAATAGTGTCTGACAGTGAAGTCTAGCAAGTAAACGGGTTTCCTTGCATAATTTGAATATTATATGGACATTGCTAAAGTTTAAATTTCACAGAAAGGACATACATGACATAGGGTAGGTGCAGGGAATTGGAGACGGACCCTTAGGCACATTTTACATAATTTACATAAACATGAAAAATGTTACATATACAGAAAGTTTTGTATTCTCTTCAGTAACTTCTTTGGTAACAAAATTGTGGGCATAATGTAACTGATTAATAAGATAACAATGATTAATGACGTCAGCACCAAAGGTCTAACATTACCTACATGTGCAGGTAATATAAGGGACAGTTAAAAAAATCAAGACATTTTAAATACAATTTGAATGAAAATGGGATTGTTATGGTTAGTTCAAACACTTTTGAAAGAGATATATGCAGCCAATGAACTTACTGTAATTTTGAAACGATTTTAAAACAATGTGGCCCAAAATATTTCTGTACATGGACAATTAACCAACCAGCATCGGGTCATTGATTGTCCTGGGCATACTCGACATTCACAACAAACGACCCCATCTCTCTCTCTCCCTCTTTCTCTCTCTTCAAAATTCTCTCCATCTTTTTTTCTTTTAACCTTCCCTTTTATCTCTTCTAGCATGTACTTGTATGATGATTAACGTCTCGCCAAAATCTAACTCTCTTAATTTTCATTAAAGGTTTTACAAAGTTTTGGTATATGTGGTCATGAATTTGGTTCAAATTTACATATTGGAAGCATATGCGTTTCTACAATATTCATTGATCGTTGTCCCGGTTGAAATCGAGTCTAAAGTTATGAAATTAGAAATAATTAACTCTTCATGTTGTATAGCTCCCTCTCAAGGTCAATATATTAATTTAGCTATGAAACAATGTTTCTTGACAAAAATCGACTGATTAGCTATTCCCGTTTGGAAATTTTATATCACAACTACATATTCTGAGATATTCATGGTCGCAGCTACCATTGTACGGCCGTAGGCGCTATTTGAAATTTACCAAAATTTACCGGGAGCACCGGTAAATTTTTATATTCAATTTTTCTCGAAAACAGAAGTGTTTTAGGGGTTAATTTTGTTAGTGCTTATAATACATCCACAGGGGCATCCAAATATATAAAAATTGTAAAGATTCACTATCCACCCAATTTTCAAAATTTCCCAAAACTTTGTATTACCTTTAATGTTTTACATGTAATTAGGAATAATATGTTTATTTAATTATCTCTCTCTCTCTCTCTCTTCCTTTCTCTCTGTGTACCTCCCATTTTCTCCCATCCTCTCTCTCTCTCTCTACTCCATTCGCTTTACCACTCTCACTTTCATGAGCCATATACCTTCCCCTGCTCTTGTATATCTTCTGCTAGTACATCCTTTCACGTAATGTGCATAAACGAACGCAATATAATTCTGCTGTATTGTCATTATGTTACAGATTTATTTACTATGTTTCGTAATACTATTGTACATGTATATTATTTACATCACTATACCTTTGTAAATTAACCCTTTCAGTCTTGTGCTGCTGGTCGATCATTTTAATAATAATAATAATAATAGCCTAATATATACCAATAAATGAATAATAATAATAATAAATATTGGACCTGGTGTCCCCCATTACCTGCACACATTTCTGATCAGACACCTTTCATAATGTGCTGTGCAACACCTATTCGCAACATACAATGGCCATAAGTTTTCTGTGATGGTTGGCACACTTCATAAACTTCATGTTAAAACTACTTTTTAAGAGCCACCCCCTTAAATATTGGCATACATCACAACATTCAATGAAAATTGTGTTTTTATATCAGAGCAAAATTTTACGATCAAAATTGGTTACCTTGGTCAATTTTGCCAATTTCTCGGAGAAAGAGCACATTGTAATCTTCGAAATGAATTGGATATAATTATGCAGTAGTGTTGTTAAAGGCCACATATGGCGCTATAGCAATATTGGAGCAAACACTGACAGTCAGTGATGTGTTCAAGCTTAGTGGACTCCAATTCCCTATACGGTCTCCAATTCTCTGCACCTACCCTATTCATAATTCCTGCAAAGTTCTACAGAATTTGATGTTGGCTGCAAAAGGGACATAGTATCTGAAAAATCAGAGATGTAGTCTGATGAAAGTTCGAAATGGGACAAAAAATGAGAAATTCTAAATTGTTAAAAGTTTTAGCTATAGGTATGGGTCCTTCAAATTGGCTGGACCGGTAATGTCTCTGTGATGTATGAACTTATCAAGTATAATATGGCAGACAAACGTTTTTTGCAACACAGAATTACTGAAATGCAGTTTTCCCCCAAATATATGACTCGGGAGGACCTGACTAGAATAATATGCTATCAATAATATGTTTCGGGTAGTGCCCCAAGGGAGAAAGTACTTATTAGAGAAACACATAAATTAATGATATTTTCATGTACACGAATGAACGGAAAAGTTATCCATGCACTGACCAAACTACGAATTTGGGATTCGCGTATATAAAAGTGATCTCATATATATATGATAATTCATTACTTTCTTATTATTAGTCAGATTAATTTCAATCTTCCGCCATTATATTAATCTTATTTTTTACTTTTTAACAAATGAACTTGTTATAAAAGTGTTTGGTTGCCCTTTCAAGACATTTTCAATTTTAATAAAACTGTTTTCCGCGTTCTGTTCTACTTTCCTCCGTGTAGTGCACATGCCGGCAATGTAATCTCTGTGTGTAAATTTAAATTTCATGTTGCTTTCTCTCTCTCTCTCTCTCTCTATCTCTCTCTCTCTCTCTCTCTCTCTCCCCCCCCCCCCCTCTCTCTCTCTCTCTCTCTCTCTTTCCTTTTCTCTTGCACCCCTCTCCCTACGTATATCATTTTCTATATATATTTTAACTTCTTTTCTCTTTCGTTTCTTAGTTTCTTCCGTTGCTATCTTTCTCGATCTTTCCTTTTTCCTTATTTTTTGGCCCCATGGATGCCAAACCCGAAGGACTTCTTTTTAAATCCATGTGTAGGCATACTACAGCACATACTAGAAATGTATATAGTGAATGGTAAGTATAAAGAAAAATAAACATGAATGCCGTATGATGTACATTTATCATCTCTCTCTCTCTCTCTCTCTCTCTCTCTCTCTCTCTCTCTCTTCCAAGAAAAAGAAAAGAAAAACAATCATAATTTATTCTCAACTTAACATTACATGAACCTGAAGAGGGCGCTGTGTATGATCGAATCTCTTTGTGAATACAATTTTGATAATGTCAGAGGATGCCTATATATGGAGCTGATTTTGGTTTAAAAGAACTGCAATAGATCTGTATATTATAAAGTCATAGTTACAGTTAAGAACATATTTTATGGATGTGATCAGAAATCATGATGAAGTTGCTTTTGAAAAAGTGCACATCAGAGTAAATTGACTGCATGGAGACACAAACATATAAGCATAATAATGACAGATTAGGAAATTAAGAAAATGATCCTGCATTGCTAATTAGAAACAGCCTACAAATCAAACTTTAAAAAGGAAAACAAAAATCATATTCAGTTAGAGTCAAAAAATAGTTTACACCTAGAAAATAGCTAGTTATTTTAAAAATTGTTTATGCAATAATATACATCTTATGAAAGAGTGTTTTATCCCAATTCAGTTGGTATCATTTTTGTGTGGTATGTGAACAGGATCTTGTTTTTTGTTGTTTTACTCACACGGTATATATATATATATATATATAGGACAGAGATAATTGAGTGCAAATGTCAAAATTACAATAGACAGAAATAGCAAAAATGTAAGTATACCTCTTCGGAAATATATAATACAGAGATCATGAGAGATGAATATATTAGACTAGTTATGTAAAAAAATATATTATAATTGTCATTTTGTATGAACTATAATCTATATATTATTCACATAAATAGCAAATATTCATATTTAGAATTCAATATCAGTTTTGTTGATGAAAATCCAAACAAGTAGCTAATGACCTTTATCATGAAATTTAACACAGTTTTTGACTGTCCCTTCGACCGACCCTCTCCCATCAGTTCGCGACCCGGAGGTTCAATTTGCATATGTAAACATAATCTAATTTGCACCGTGCGTTTTAATATGTTGTTTAAGTCATGTGGTCTAGGTTCGCCCAATCAAAACGTTCGTTTCTTCACCACCGCCAAGCTCAGTTTACTAGGGAACTCCCGAACGACCCGGTCCCGATTCTAACTTAGTGGGTTATTTGGTTGTTTGTTGTCTTAAACTCTGTACCCAGTGGAGACAATTTATCTTGTGCGATGTTTCATGTGCCTACAGACGTTAATTTTACAGTATTTATCATCAAGTCTTAGATTCTCCAGTTGGTTTTGACAAACTTTACGTGAAATCACCCGTACACCGCGAGGACAGAGACGATGTCGTACAGCTGCACCTTGAGAGAAAAATAAATCAATGGGACGCCATCTCTCAGTGTACGACTATCGACTCGACTCAAGTCAGGCCAGGCAGACCGGACCACTGACAATCGAATCTACGCGAGCCTAGCCTTATGCATATGATGTAGGCTAACGAAGCGTGTATATCGCCAGTGCAACCGTTTGGGCCTGCTGACGACGTCATCGAGACAAAGCAAACATGTCTTTTTAACATCCCGTCGACCCAGCTTCGACTAATAACGCTAGAATATTATATCGACTATTTTCTCATCACTATGGAATCAAGTGCTAGTTTAACTAGCTTGTGGGGTCCTGAGGGTAAGCTTTAGTTAAAGTTCTTCTTTTTTTCTATAAAATTCTAGATCCTAAATCTAGTAATGAATGAAGTTAAGAATAGACCTCTAAGAATAAATAAAAGTTGATGAAGACATGATCAAGTTAAATCAATGATCGATCTGACTCTGAGTGAAGAGTGTTTCTCTAGAATCTAGTCTGTGATTTAAAGGAAACTTCCCCCACAGTCACAGAATAGCCGGTAGAGTCTAGATCTAGGCCTAGACTATTCGATATTCTGAATCTGGCTTCTGAGATTGTGTGGAACCGAGGCAGAGCTAACTCGGAACCGGGGACAACTCGCCCCGCTGCAAAGACTGACTGTTTTGCAGCAGGCCGAGTTAGCCCGACTCCTTGTATTCTTGCCAATTGAATTACGTGTATGAGAGAGATAGTAGTATGTTAAAGCAAGGATAATGATTAATAATAATATGTCAATGACTTACTCTATGTAAATCTTAAAGGGATCGTTTAACAATGTTAAATCTGAGATACACGGCCCTACGTGTTATCAGTGTCTGTGATATGGTGTTATAATGAAGCCCTAAAAAAATTGCGCTTCAAAATGATCAAGAAGTGCCTCAAAAAAGTAAAAATCTTTGAGTGACCGGTTTTACCATACTCGTTTTCCCCAATAGACTGTAGTGTTATGAAAACCGTCAGGCGAACGGTTTTCAAAATTTGTAATTCCAATCATAAATATCTTGATAATCAGACAGGCGATCGGCTTGTAAAAGTCATGGGGTTCCTGACTGACCTAAAGGTTTATAATTATCATTGCATCATGAGCTAAATCCAGAATTTTGTTTCAGAATTTGAGACAAAGTTACCGGATCCCTTTAATAAACATGACGTGATCCGATGTGGAGTCATTTATCAAATATAATGTTATGGATGCTTCCTATTAATCCTTTGTACTACACTCTGCCAGTAGGGGCGCTGGTCCGAGATTAAGGATCGTCTTCCTAAATGCGACGATGCGAAAAGCGGATTCCGCGATGATATTCTTGATGCATTTTACATTGACTCTGTACAGAGACTTTCACATTATGAGCGATGAATCCTCAAGAGATGGACAACCCATAAAAGAAGATGGTGTACTAGGGTTTTTTTCTTACGCGGAATCCATTTTTTGCATCGCTCGGTTCGGTAACCCGAAACCCGAAACCCGCAGAGCTATGATGAAAAAAAATGTCCGCAGACGATCCTTATTCTTTAGGACAAATTTTGTCCGCGTTTACGAGGATATCCTCGTTTATGAAGACGATCCTCGTTCTCGGACCAGCGCCCCTGCTGTCTACAGCAGTATGATTGATCCTACCTCAAGTACAATAATCTGACAACGTTCATACTGCGCAGGTCAACACATGATACCATACATGTACGTCCTTAAAAAATGTACAGCAGTGTTAACTAATTCCTTACTTTTTGTTGATGATAAAGGAGGAAGGTATATAACAGAAAATAGTGGAGGGACATGATCAACCTTTTCTGATCAATTCCACAACGTTTCTTTCACAATGCAATCGCATGACCATAACAGTCATAACTGGTCTTTATCTTTAAAGGTACTATGTCCCATTCGCAGGCCAAAAAACTTAAAAGGTTAAATTCCAACGGCATTTGAAAGAAAATACTATTTTAGAACTTCCTGATTTTTTTTTTTAATTTTTGATTTTGTGTGTGTGTGTGTTACTTTACCAAGACTGGGCCAAATTTATTATGATTTGGATGACTCCAGAACTTTGCAGTACACACCAATACTAACATGCTACATGATCCACTTTTTCTGATCCATTCCACACCTTTTCTTTCACAATGCAATCAGATGACCAGAACTCACCTTTATCTACATGTATATGACAATAATTGGATTTTTTCAGTCTTCAGAAAGTTTTTTGTTAAACTTTCGTAACTGAACACACTCTGTAAAGCATATATATTTAATTAAATTGAAATTAAATCTGTGAATTTTATATTTTATTTCTAAATATCACTGAGAAATTTAATTTTGAAATATCCAATACCAAAATCAAATATTCAAACTTTGGTGTTAGCGTGAACCATTTTGACTCAGGCCTACCGTATTTGCCGGTGATAAGGCCACAGCGCCGCATAGGCCGCATCCCCGATTTTAACATTTAAAAAAAAAAAAAAAAATTGTCGGAGGCGGGATATGAACCCTCCCCTTCAGATGTAGATGTGACACAAATTAGCGTCTTAGACCGCTCGGCCATCCCGACCCTGATGCTGTCTCATGCAGCTTTCTCTTGTGAATGGATTCAAAATGGCGACTTTGGCTGGATGCTTCGCAGCAGCTCCATTAAACGGTCCCTTCTTTTACTTTTGCAATGCATTGGCATGAACTTAGATCAAGATCTATCGGCAGATGTTGTTTTTGGAAGTTTATTTTCGTCTTCATGTCAACAATGCAAGATAAAATTGTCATTAAGATGTGTGGAAATGTCCTGTACCATAGTGTTATAGTTATTGTAGTCCCATATGTGTAAATTCATGCTTTTTTTTCATGGTTTTGACTTGTTTTTGGTTTTTTACTCTTTCGCCGCAAGGGCCGCACCCCAAATTTTGGACATTTTCTCTTCCAAAAATAATGCGGCCTTTACGCCGGCAAATACGGTAGTTGGAATAGAGTCCCAAAGCTGTGACATCTTAAAAATCTATTCTTAGAATTTCTCAATTTTTTCTTCATTTTTCTGAAAGAGCATCAAAAATAATGTCCAAATGTAAAAAACCAGCTGAAAATGTTAAGTATTGGCCGAGATATGATCATCTGAATAAAAATATTTCCTACAGGAGCTCAGTGTTATATGGCTCCTAATGTTATGAACATTTTCAACTGGTTTTCGACATTGGTAATACGCATTAATTGTGACTAAGCCAATGGATACTGGTACCCTTGCAAAATACTTCGGTAAGGACAAAATTGTTTACTCTTTGTGTGTTTAATGTGCAACTTAATATCAAACATACAGATGTAATGGTGACAATTGAGATACTAGGTTTCATACATGTACTTTTGAACATCTTTTTATTGGTTGGACACAAGGGTAACTTGCACTCGTTTTGAGAATATTTCGCTCGTCGTGCCAAATCATGAAGTAAGCTCATCAGCTCTAGACCTAGGGATAATACACATAAATCATTTTTGCGAGTGCATAATTTGTGATATGTACTGCACACAAAGTGAAGTCACGATAGGATAATGAACAAGACTTCATGTCTCAATTGTCTGTCTCATTGTGACTTACTGGTAACCAAGTGCATTGCATATCACTCTTGCACAAGTTAAAAAAGCATACCGTAAGGCCGCAGCACCGCATAGGCCGCACCCCCAAACAAACTGATACCAAATGCATCAATATTCCTATATAAAAAAATTTACTCTTTCGCCACAAAGTTTTGCACCCCAACTTTTTGATATTTTCTCTTCCAAAAATACTGCGGCCTTTATGCCGGCAAATATGGTATTTGTTTTAAAAGAGGGGTCTACCATACCTGCCAACCACCCCGATTTAGGCGGAGTTCCTCCGCATTTTTCATACCAACTCCGAAATCCGAGTGCATGCCTCAAAACTCCGAGTGTAATGCACTTGGAGAGTATATAACTATTATGTTTGTATTTTGAAATGTAAAGCGCCTTGAGCATGTTCATGTAAAGGCGCTCAATAAATACCAATATGTATGTATGTATGTATAAGACTAAAGCATAACACAGCACTGATAACCAGATCACACCGACATCCGCGCTCGCGCTCATAGAAGATATACACAGCGACATGGAAAAAAAAAATAGACCCTAAAGTCCTGTGTACCCCCCCCCCCCCCCAATCTACGGGCTACTACCCCAATCCTTCGGTGGTTCGCGACCTCGTAGTCCATCCAGAAAAATTTACTCCTAATTTCTCTTGTCTCAGGTTGGCAGGTATGGTCTACAATGATTGGAGGACATGCGATTGATTTGGATCAATCGTAAATCTTTATAAGACAGTGCCCTTACATAAGAAGGTCAAAGATCAAAGGTCATACAGGGAAGAGGTAAATTTCTGAAATTGCAGGTTTTATCCTCGGTTAGAATGCATGCATTTATGGTATATAAATAATGTGCCAAAAGCTAGTTATTGTTATTTAGTGTATCTGAGCTAAAAAATGTATTTGATTTGATCAAACAACTGTTCTCTTGAAAAGAAAGAGAGTTACAAGATCAGCCACTGGACAATGACTGTCCGTGCCATTGTGCATGAAGCTTTTCATACACCCCCAATCAGCAGTGTGTACCCTTCTTTAACTTTGGACTTTGTATGCCTCTAGACACACTTCCACTGATGCACGCATACCAATAGGAGCATTAATAATAACTTCCTCTGTATCCCCATTGAGGGGGCATTTAAAGTCCCCCATTGTAACACGCCTGTAGACACACAAGTGAGGAAGGAGGTGAGTGGGTTCACAAGCTGTCCAGCCAGGCCAGAGCAGCCTCCCTTTCACACCCGACCCCGTACTGCATGCTTTCCCATTTCTGGGTGTAACAATAGATTGGTGGTTTGCATGAAAGCAGGTGGTATCCCCTATCCATTGTGTAGGCCTACTCATGGTATGCTGTCACAATGCTATAGGCCTCTGCACTATACTCTGTGTGTGTACACTAACTCAAACTGACCATCAATGTTTAGTTTTAAAAAATTGGCTTTAAAAAAAGAGCAGGGCACTGTCTCACCATAGTGTTGTAAGTATAGCGATTAGAGACTTCGGTGTTAAGCGCTTTATAAGTAACATTTTCATTATTATTATTAAGTACAGTGTATGTAATTAAGTTCTGGCATCCTAGATAATTTATTAAGTTGTACAGTATGGGTTTCAAATACGATGTCCGCAAAAGGCGCAAATTGAGACTCCCCACAGTATTGTGATTCTCTGGCCATTATCATGTATCTTTTTCGCTATAATAATTATGAGCTGTGCCTGTGGAGCAGTCTACTTTGAGCTTACACTGTGTGTCAACTTGTAATTGCAGCCTTTTTGTCTAAAAAAACGGGAGGAAAAAATTGCCCATTTAGATTACACAACATCATTTGCTGAAAGAAAAATGCATTGAACTTAATTTCAACTAAAACATAATTGTCTGTAATTCATAAAGTTTGGAATCATTACTGTCACATGATTGGTACTACTGTGATGTAGGCAGCTAAAGCACGACACCAAAAATGGCAGAAGTTCAGAGCCAGATACTATCTGCAGTTCGGCAAACAAAATTTTAATTTAGGTTTCAAAACTGTTACAAAAGACACTTGAGCTGCATTTACACTGCAACCAAAATTGTCTGTTTATCTCACATCCTGGTATTTCGCTAGTAGTTGCATTTTTGTAGACAAAAAAAAAAAAAAAAAATTTTTGCTTTTTTGAAGACACCATGAGCAGCAAGCCAGTTATTCTAGAAATTTCCAGTACCATTCATTGTAGTCCCATATGTACAAATTCATGCTGTTTTCATGGTTTTGACTTGCGATATTTTACTCTTGCAGCGCAAAGGCAGCACCCCGACTTTTTGATATTTTTTCTTTTAAAAATACTGCGGCCTTTACGCCGGCAAATACGGTACCGAAAAATTGAAGATTTTTCCAAATGGTGTTTGGGATGTGTGAATGGGCCTATGGTCATTGTGGATAAGGAAGAGTTTTGTCATGTTAAGGATTATCTCTTGTTTCATTTGCTATTTACATGTATGGTATACACATTTAACACAGGTACTTCACACAGGAAATGACCTTTTTTCAGGGGAAAGAGCACTACTGAGTATGTGATATTCTGTGAACACTTTTAGCTGGAGAAAAAGAACTTGATATTGATGACTTGTATTTCAGATTTTATAAGAAAAATACAAGAAGTATATTGGAGAAGTACCGGTAGAAAATGAGAGATGAATTGAATGCAATGTTTCGGGAGAGAGAGAGGGAGAGAGAGAAGAAAGAGGAGGGGGATAGAGGAGAATGGAGGAAGTGAAAAAGAAAGAAGGAAAGAAAGAATTACACTAAAGCAAGGATTGAGAAAGGATAGTATGAAGATAGTCAGTAAATTAGTTTGCCTGTTCAGTTTACAACATTCTCCAACATATGTTTTGTCTTTTCTTCTTGCTCAGGTCAGGGTAGCCCATTAAAGACTCAACCATCGACGCCTTCAAAGTCATCGGGAAAAGATATCGTTGGTGACGAGGTTATAAGCTTCTATGATGATGCTGGGCTTGGAGGCATAGCGCGAGAGGTAAAGCAAATATTTCAAACCTATATTTAGGTGGTCTGTTGTCATCAACAAGATCACATGTTAATTTCATCAACATGTTCTTTATTTGTTTAGTATTTATTGATTTACATAATATTTATTTATACCCCCCCCCCCCTGATTTTTTTGTGGCATGGATTACTGGAACTCAAAATCACTATAGTCAACGTTCTTATTTTGCCTAAAAGCAATCTGCTTAATGTATATACAGGGTACATTTTAAAAAAAATCAAATCACAGCTTTGCAGCATAGGCCTTCCCTCACTATGCAATTTCCCATCAATGAATTTCATTTACATGTAGAAAACATGGCAAATCATAATGATTATAATAATAGGCATGCGCGCATTTAGCTCCGTCTATCTAGACAATTCTATTCCGAGGCGCACAATTGATTATTACCCCAGCTTTAGCCTAGTTGCCATTACACCGCTCGAACATTTCAAGGAATTAATTCCTGCCAGGTACCCATTTACCTCACCTCACCTCACCTCACCTGGGTCGAGTGTGGCGAATGTAGATTAATGCCTTGCCAAAGGACATGATAGTGCCGTGTTGGGGATCGAACCACGACCTTCGAATTTCAAGTCGAGTGCTTAAACCACTCAACTTTGACACTTCTGTACTATAACATACATGTATGACAGTACAATTTCAACAGTACTGGAGAACAACGGATATTACAATTTGTAAAAAGGTGAAACCATATTGGTTAAATAATGTTGTTCGTGCATTGTACATATACTTGTTATTATAATTTGGAATGAATGAAGTTTTGAATAATGGTTCTTTGGGTTCTTGGTACACACAAACAAATTCCTGAGCAGTTAAAAAGTCAAACAAAAAAACAGTGGGTGTGATAGGTCCTTCATAATAGAAGTTACTTTGGACAGTATATGATCTTCAAACTACATGTATGTTGATATTGCCGGGGGGGGGGGGGAAGCAATTTTGCGCCTATTAGATGTTACGCAATCTTCCTGGAAGACATTCTAGTTTGTTTTGTTTTTTGTCTGCTCGTGTGAGGTTTCTATAAATAAAACACAAATAAGATTAAATACCGGTAATAGAACACTTTGATGGATTGACAAAAGTTTAGGTTAAGGTTTTAAATTTTATAAAAGTTATTTTGTCGTTTTTTAGGAACTGCAGACACGGTTTCATAACTTGAACTATACTCAAAGTTATTAACAAGAGATCTTGAGTTAAGTACGATATTAACGAGCAGCGGAGGGTCCTCACTTTAATTAATTTGTGTTCACACAATTGACTTTAAGGAGGTTATGCCAGCTTGAAGTTAAAATGAATGCTTTCCCGGCTTGTATTTTTAAGCTTTGAATACTCATTGTTATGGTCTTGTGTGATCCCTCGTCATCGTCATAGCAGATCATTGTTTTTAACTTTGAGGTTTCGCTAACTTAAAGGTATAGACCAGTTTTGGAAACACCCCCCTCTCAAGAAATGAAATGGAAGCTCTTATTACCAATCATGTGAAAGAATATGTTTTGACTAATACGGGATCATACAAAATTTGCTGGGAAACCACCTACGAATTGATATATTTGGTAAATTATTATATCAATCTGGCCTGGATAGATATCACATGGTCCCTTATACACTGTGTACAGTGCTTGCAACTTTACCAAGACTGGGCCAAATTTCCATCATGTTGATATTCTAGAACCTTGCAGTACTCACCAATACTGATCAACCTTTTCTGATCGATTCCACATTTCTTTCACAATGCAATCACATGACCGGAACTGGCCTATACTATCATTAAAACTATCATTGTCCTGTGTGAACATAGCTTGTAAATTTCATCACCACAGTGTTGTACTACATGAAATACATACATTTGTAGAACTTAAATAGTAATTTATACCAGTGTTTGTACATATACATGTAGTTGTGTGCTGTATCTCATGTTTTCAGTGTCTCTGTTTTGTTTATTTTGCAGGCAAAGTTGATTGACCCTTCAGGTATTTTGAGAAGAGACACTAATCTCCAGCAAGTTACAAGAGGTAAATAGTCAAGCAAAGATATTAAAAACAGCACGACCAGCTCAATCAATAGACCATTTTTGTAATGGAATCAACTTTTATGCATGAATCTTTGTTGAGTGCCATGTTATAAATTATTTCATTCACCTGTTATGAATATTTGTATTTCAATAGTCAGAATGCGAATTGCATGCATTCATTGTCGCTAGGTAGGACATTATGGTTTGTCCTACCTAACAACACAGAGGTTGTACGCTTCGTGAAAATGTAACCCCTTGGGAAAATATAACTCCCTTCGGTGGTCTAAAGAATGTTGTATTTTTAACCCTACCAGTCAATATGTGTATAATATATGATTTGAAACCTCCCTTTCTCTGCAGTCATTCAGCTTCCTCAGTTCATCTCTCCCAAGCCGTCACCCATGAAGACCACTACCCAAATCCTACCTAAAGTGGCAACTATCGTCACGACTACGAATGTCAGTGGGCTTCCAATGGTAAGTATAGGTGCTGATCAATGAAGCCATTTTATATTTGAATAAGTTATAGTGAAGCATTATTACATGTGACTACAGGTTGATATAACCTTGATGCTGCAATGTCCTAGAATACACCATGTGTAATGAAAAAAAATCATATTATTTTGGATTGTCAATCTTATTCTCTCTGTCTCCCCTATCACCCACTCAATCTTCCATTCATTCCCCTTTTCATGTTTCTCCATTTTTTCTGTACATGCATGGTTGCAGTTTTAGTATTGTACTGAGTCAATACATGTATTTCAATTTTAGGGAATTTTTGGAGGTATTTTCAGTTTCACTTTTGTTTTTAACTCTTTTCCTGCTTTCTCTCTTGTGCTGTATATGTTGCAAACGAGTTCACGTGCCAGACAAATTTCTATGAAAAGTGACACGAATACATATTTAGAAACAAGTTAATGAGAATCCTAAATGGCGGATCTATGTTTATTTTGGTTCAATATAATGAGAGATCTTACCTTTATTAAGACTACAACCAGTTTGTCCAAAGTGACCTTTCGGTGCTGTATATTTTACATGTCCATTCTGATGCAAGTTTTATTGTGTTGATTTGCATTTTTGATCGACTGATATGCTTTTCACACTGTTAAAATTGTTCTTAGCCCCGGACTATAGGTGGGACTAAAGGGGGGTCGTAGCCCCACCTATAGTCCTTGGCTAAGCTTAGCCCACTTTATTTTCCGACACAAATTTACAAAAGTGAGCTAGCCTCGCCTAAAGCAAGGCTAACTCTGCCGTTCCAGTGCCAAGCTCACATTTATAATGCGGCTACCAGTAATACTTTGTTTCTAGGTGCAGCCCATATTATTACCCCGGTCATCAGATTCAGGCTTACCCACAACACAATGGATGCACATTTTCCACTCCCTGGGGAGCATTCCAGCCAATCGTCATTTGACAAGCGCAACTTGCTAATCCAACCACATTAACTTTTTCATCCTACTGGGTACCCATTTAACACCTGGGTGGAGAATGGCAAATGCATAACAGAAACAACAAAAAATAGCGTAGTCCCAGTGTATCGAAGCAGGCCAGAGAAGAAGCAAGAAACCTACTGTCCAATCAGAGGCGACATATTCATGAATATGCATTTCCAGTAAACCATTACCAGTGCAAAATGTCATACATTTTTATCGTGAACCTTGACCGGCCTCCTGCTAGTGCAAGCAAGTTCACAGCTGCAGAAAATTTCCTAATGAATATTCACGCTATACAGCTTGTCCTAGGCTAGCTACATGTAATTCCTACATATATCCTAGATAGGTGCAAAGTATGGGACTAAAACAGCGTGTGTGAAAAGCCCAAAAGGTTAGTCTGGGGCTAAGCAAAACAAGTGTGACAAGCATATGAATAATGATTAAAAAAAAGGTCTGCTTGCTGCTCGAGCTGTCTCTTTTTCTTTGCATTGGGGAAGGCTGAGTTTTTTTAAGCATTAAAGGCATCATTTAGCAATGTTAAATCTGAGATGCATGGCCCTACATGTTATCAGTGTCTGTGATATGTTGTAATATTGAAGCCCTAACAAAATGATCATGAAGTGCCTCAAAAAAGTAAAAAATCTTTGAGTGACCGGTTTTACCATACTCATTTTCCCAAATAGACTGTAGCTACTCCACTAGTTTGTAAGTCTGAAAATCATAGTGTTGGTAAATTACGGTGTGTGTAACTGCATCTCCTCTCCTCTCTTGTTGCAGATACTAACACCACAGAGACCGTGTACAACAGTCTTAGCTGCTAGCCCAAGCCAATCACAATTCACACCAGTGTCATTGCAGTCACCGAGTTGGTCGTAAGTTACAAACAGATTGTGCAACTTGTATTAGGCCTAAAAAAAAAAAATGATGTATTGCCCTTTAGGTGCCAAAACATGGGTCGGTCGGTCGGAATACTTTTTTACTCCCTCTTTGGGCTGATATTTTTTAGTTTTGAATGCTTTGATACATTTTAAAGGTAAAGACCAGTATTGGAAACGCCCCAATTTCAAAAAATTAAATGGAAGCTCTTATTACCAATCATGTGAAAGAATATGTTTTGACTAATACATAATGATAATTTTTTTGCCAGGAAACCGCCTTCTAATTGATATATTTGGTAAATTAGTTTATCTATTGGTGTGTGAGAGTTAAACGCACGTGTCGCGCACGTGTGCCTAGTCCCATATACATCTTTCTGTGTACAGTGCTTTTAACTTTACAAAGACTGGGCCAAATTTCTTATCATATTGGTGATTCCAGAACCTTGCAGTACACACCAATACTTATATGCGAGATGACTAACCTTTTCTGATTGATTCCACAGCGTTTCTTCCACAATGCAATCACATGACCATAACTGGTCTTTATCTTTAATTTTGTTTTTTAAACGGTTTAAACGGTAAAAAAGAAGCCGACCGTAGATTTCAAGATTTTTGGGTCAGTCGCAAAGGGCAATACAACATCTTTTTTTTTTATAGGCCTTACTAAGATAGTGGTCTTTGATTTGATGGTGTAAATCTGTCATATTTTACTTTGGGTTTCCCTTTTATGATTGTAGATTCATGATTTGTATCATTATATGCTTAATATGATTATGATGTTAATGATTGTAGTGTCATCTATGACATGACTGTATATGTTGTACTTGAAAAGTCATAATTTCACATTTTTCTGCGCACATATTATTGTGACTGTTGATGAAGATGTTTGTGAGTGTCATGTTCGGTATCTTTAATCCCCACTGCACTACTTGTAGCTACTTGCTCCCTCTATATGGAAAACATGCGTAAGCGGTGCCCGTTGGTCCCCCATGATCCTCTGTTTCTTATGCTAATCAAGAGCCGAGTTGATGAGATAACCATCCTGGGAGGTCTAATTCCTCCTGGCCAAACTAGTGCAGATGGGCTTTAATAACTTTGCTTAAAGTACAAGCTCTGGATTCATACTAAACTGTATCTCTTGAAGGCCTTTGCCCACAAATTAAAATAAGTTAATTTTACATCATCCAATTTTACCTTATCCAATTCATCATAATATAAAAATTCATGTTTAGTGTATTGGAGGACCTTGGCAGTCATGAAGTATGGAAAAGGAAGTTATGGACAGTCTAATTAATATTATTTAATTCATATGGAGCATTTGAAAGTGCCAAGAACAAAGATTTCTCCAGCCCTACTGCCATCTTGAGTAAATATGCCCTAATGTAAATTGGCAAAATACTTTTGCTACCAGCGGGATGAGCCTGAAACAAACCTGTAGTTTTAGCAAAACACTTATGTTTACTCACACTGTATTTGTTATTGTTTTACAGAGGGTCATCACAGAAGAGAAAGGCTGACTTTTCAGATGAATTTGATAAGTAAGTCCAATTGTTTGAATAAAATATATGCTAGCAGGGAAAATAAGTGTTCAAAGCACTAGTTGAGGCTGGCGTAAGGTCATCAATGCCAAGCGACTCAGCAATGATTTGCCTGATTTTAGTCAAAAGATTTGTTAGACCTGAAACATTGCAAAGTAAACATGAAATTAAAAGGGGTGGGGGTGGGGGTGTATGGCCCCAGTCTTATAGTTGTTGAAGGTACACACATATCTTGTGCTGTGACCAACGATCCCTCCTCCGTGTTGGGACATCGATATGTAACTAATGAATGGAGCGCCTGGAGTGTCAAGTCTGACAGACATGAGCGCTATATCCACTATTATTATTATTACTTATTGAAAACGGTCTTTTGATGCAATTTTCTACTCAAAAAGTGGAATTTTATAACTGATTTATGCATTAAACCCTAAGAAAACTATGGATTTGAAGAGAAATTATATTCTATTTTGCAGATATGAGTTTGTTACAAAGTAGGAGTTTTAAATGAAAATCGTTGTAATATTTTGTCTTAACATACACTGATCTATGATGACGACAAATCACATCTCCATCCTCATTCACAATTGACAATTTATCATACAAGTATGGATATTTTATTTTTAGTCTTATTTTGAAGCTAGAAAAATGTAATTTCTTTATAACATGCATTTCATTTTGCTTTTTATGATGTCTTGTTCACAGTAGTAACAAGAGGAAGAAGAGAGAGAAAGAATCAAAGGGTCTCCGGCATTTCTCAATGAAGGTGTGTGAGAAAGTACAGCAGAAAGGCATCACGTCGTACAATGAAGTAGCAGAGGAGCTCGTTAGAGAATTTAGTCAGCCAGCGCATCAGTTCTTACCATCAGAATCGGTATGCTATCTTATGTCTCATTTAATATACTCGTCCAACTCTATGCTCTAATGCTCAATACTATGCTCGATGGGTAGACAATCTTACTTAGCAAGGCGATAACACTGTAAACTTGCAACCTTCATTACAATAACGCATACATGCCCGCCTCATGAACGGGAGGTCGTGGGTTCGAACCCTGGCCGAGTCATACCAAAGACTTATAACAATGGGACCTTCTTCCTTCTAGCTAGGGGCTCAGCATATTAGATTGGAGAAGGGTAGTAGTAACACATTATGTTATGCAGGGCCCGCTGGAAGAGCAGTTTCATAACTGAAGTGGCTACCCTGGGTAAATGAAACGTTATTATATATATATATATATATATATATATTATTATAGTATTAGATTATCTTATTTACAGTATTTTTATTCTCTTATTCTACAGCATCAGTACGATCAAAAGAACATCAGGCGGCGGGTGTACGATGCCCTCAATGTCCTCATGGCAATGAACATCATCTCGAAAGAAAAGAAAGAGATTAAATGGATTGGCCTGCCAACCAACTCTAGACAAGAGTGCGACAAGCTGGAGACGGAAAAGAGGAAAAGATTAGACAGCATACGACAAAAGAAATCACAGCTTCAAGAGCTCCTCTTACAGGTAGGTCTTAATGGGAGAGGGTCGTCCGATTCCATGTGCAGAAGACTATAATTCGCTGATACCTGGCTCGGTGAAAATACCATTGATGGGTGTACAAGGCTGAACACAGCAATTCCATGGTCCTATCAGCTTCCATATGCAGAAGACCATAATTCGCTGACACCTGACTTGGTGAAAATAACATTAATGGGTGTACAAGTCTGAACACAGCAATTCCATTGTCCTATCAGCTTCCATGTGCAGAAGACCCTAATACGCTGATACCTGACTTGGTGAAAATACCATTAATGGGTGTGCAAGTCTGAACACTGCAAACCTGTAGTCCTATACGAAAAAAATACCCCCCTTGTCACTCAGAGAGTCTTGGGTGAAGATAATAATTTACCACTTTACTATGGGGGTATGGGTGGAAGATGCAATGCGTTACATCGGGCCCATTGGTCATAGAACCGAAGGCTAATCCTGGTGATTGACAACACCTGTTATTGGGTAAACACCCGAATGGTGTTGAATTCCCCATGAGAGCCGACTTCTATGCATCTTTAATGCAACTTGTAGCTCATGTAGAAAATAGTGGCCATCTCTTGAAGACGTAGGGGCACAGCTGGAGCTCCAAAGATCTGTGATCCAATGACTTTTGCCCTTGGCTTCATTTTGCCAAAGGTATTGAGAGAGATAGGTGTAGGAATGCAAGTGTTTTTATGTTAGGTTTAGGATAGCTTTGGGTAAAGGAGGCCTTGTGTTTGGTCCAGGGTTGAAGTTAGGAATTTGGTCACTGTTACGAATTGACCGCAGAGCAATTGTCCCAGTAGCATGTGTCATGGCAACTCAATTTGGTGATCAGAGTATCAAACATTTGAAAGTTGAGGGGGGGAGGTATGTTTTCAACAGAGCCATCTATACACAGAGTTTGGCCAACTTGTTTTGTGCTTGCCCAACAAAGCAGTAGTCACCGTATTGTGTCCAACTCGAACCGGGTTGACCAAACTCTGTGTATAGATGGCTCTGGTTTTCAAGTACTTGTGTGCATGGCAATGGCTATACTGCTAAATGCCGGGAACTTGGGTTAAATTGTATAAATGATAATTTTGTCTTTATGTATTTATCTGTCTAACCCCAATGCCAGTGGTCTATATGAATTACTGTATTACGGGAAAGTACAACTGTAAGGTTCTTCCAAAAGGAGATGCCTTGCACTAGCATTTTTTCTCAAGCCTTCGGACCTCTCTTGTCCAGTGTTCTTTCCTCCATTAATCCATTCTATGTCAAATTGATTTGATGAATATCATGTAACGTAAAGACATGTAAAATATGAATAATTTTTGTTTAATCACCACCTTTTCATGAATACAGCAAATTGCATTTAAGAACCTGGTGACACGCAACAAGAGGTTAGAAGATACAGGGGCAAGTCCACCAACTAGTAACTCAGCCATCCACTTACCTTATATTATTGTCAATACCAGCAAGAAAACGGTCATAGATTGCAGCATATCAAATGATAAGTAAGTATGCATTCATATTGAACAGGCACAGCATAAAAGGGGGGGGGGGGGTTGGGGGATTTTTCTGATATTTACTAGTTCCTTGTTGTTTCAAAGTGCAGTTTGATTAAATTATACTTCTATTCTTCAAATTGTTCAGTTATGCCCATGTCAAGCTCTTTATAATATTTCACTTTTTGCTAAAAAGAGATGATCATGCCTTATGCTGGAAGGGCCCTCTATTGCGCCTCGCCTGTGGAATTTCCTCCCATCATTTACTTGCGAAATTGACAACCTGGACTACTTCAAAGCTTCACTCAAAACTCACATCTTCCTTCAGACATTTAAATGCTCACTTTATTGGAGGAGCTCGCGCCTTCAATTGCTTTTTGCAACAGATATATGGCGCCATACAAATGCTGTGAATGATCATCTTAGAAGCTGGATCCTCGGTCTAGGTCCTCCTGCCAGCCATTTCAGCCCTTTATCCTTGATATGATCAGCAGTATTTCTGCTGTTTAGTTGACTGATCCGTGATGCCTTGTATTTGGATATGGTCCTTAAACATATAAGTTTGATTTAAGGCTGAGCTGGTTTGTGCTCATGTTTTTAAAATCAAGTGGAATTTATTAATTTTTATTTTATTGTTTTACTTCAAAATAAATTCATTTTTTCCTGAAAGGTTACTGCCAAAGTATTTTTATGCCTCCGTTACGAAGTAGCCGGAGGCATTATGTTTTCGGGTCGTCCGTCCGTACGTACGTACGTCTGTACGTACGTACGTCCCGTTCTTGTGATCGCGTTATCTGAAGAACCGATTGATCGATTCCTGCCAAACTTTGGTCATGTATGTATCTTGCAGAGCCGATGAACTGATTAGATTTTGGGGTCACGAGGTCAAAGGTCAAAGGTCACAGGGCTCATTAGGTATGCAAAAACAGCTCGTGATCGCGTTATCTGAAGAACTGATTGATGGATTCCTGCCAAACTTTAGTCATGTATGTATCTTGCAGAGCCAATGAACTGATTAGATTTTGGGGTCACGAGGTTAAAGGTCAAAGGTCACAGGGCTCTTTATGTATGCAAAAACAGCTCGTGATCGCGTTATTTCAAGAACAGATTGATGGATTGCTGCCAAACTTACGTCATGTATGTTACTTGCAGAGCCAATGAACTGATTAGATTTTGGGGTCACGAGGTCAAAGGTCAAAGGCCACAGCGCACATTATGTATGCACAAACAGCTTGTGATCGCGTTAACTCAAGAACCGATTGATGGATTCCTGCCAAAATTAGGTCATGTATGTTACTTGCAGAGCCAATGAACTGAGTAGATTCTTGGTTCATAAGGTCAAAGGTCATGGGCTCATTATATATGCAAAAATAGCTTGTGAACGCATTCTCATTAGAACTGACAGATAGATTACTATTTAACTCAGGACATCTTGCAGAGCCAATGAACTGAGTAGATTTTAGGGTCATGAGGTCAAAGATCAAAGGGTCATGAGAAATTGCTTGTAATCACGATATTCTGAGAACCTGTCAATGGATTACAGTTGAACTTGAATTCGAAAAATTTCTTCTGTTTTGGTTTGTAAAATTGCTCTATGACGGAGGCATCATTTTCGACTGCTCCCAGTCAAATTCCATCTAGTTTAGAACTAAAGACCGAAACAAATGAAGTTGAACTCTGACTGTCAGGTCTCAGTTTTCATCCCTCGCAGAGTGAGTTAGTGACATAATAAAGTTATGTGACGTTATAATTGGAATGAGAGCTATGCCTTTATTGATCGAACGCTGAATATTGAATATGAATCTGTCTTAAATCATCATAGGTATGAGTATCTGTTCAACTTCAACGATACATTTCAAATCCATGATGACATTGAAGTATTGAAGCGAATGGGAATGGCATATGGACTAGAGAAAGGGCAATGTAGTCACAGCGATCTAGAGAGAGCCAAGACCATGATTCCCAAGACATTGGAACCTTACCTAGCAGGTTAGACAACAATTTCAACATCTTCTTTTTCTTGTTTATACAATTTTGTAAACATAAGGAGTAAGACAGTCTTTGTTATGTGCAGTTGTAAAGTGTAGGCAAGAGATACTTTCTTGGATGCAGTTTGCACAGACTTTGTCTCTGTTTCATTGCTTACTTAATAAAACTACTATATTTAGAATAAATTCAGATGGAAGTGGAAAAAAGAGAGCCTCACAGAGGTCAATACTATATTTCTTAATATTTGAGATGTAAGGTTAGCTTGCCATGTAGCTGATAAAATGCCCCCTGTAGCCCTCTAAGTATCCTCCATATTTTTCATCTTTAAATTATTTTTTTTACTGTTTGCTTTACCAGTGAATTTTTGTAAGAAAGTCTTTGAAAAGATTCCTGAAAAAACAATGACAAAATTTGTTGGGCTGTTTTGGTTGGGAAATGATAGCAATTAAACTGTAAATGAGTGCTAAGATGTTAAGAATAACCTTGTAACACATGTCTTTCTTTTTTTTAAATAGAGTTTCTATTCTAACACTGAAAGTTTACCACAAATTTGGATGGAGAATTAGAACTGGGATTTGAATTGTGACATCCTAATGTCAAGATATCATATTAACTTCCTTTAAAAATAGATAAGACATCCTTACTTCAGTTCTCTATGTAATGATGAAGTAGAAACATATGCATATTGTTTTCAACAAATCAGGACGTGTTTTGCAGCAAGCATGAATAGACTCTGACATGTGTCCATGTGGTCAAATTCAGACTGTTGAGCATGTTCTGAAGAAGTGTGCTGTAGCAGAACACCCATGTCCGTCCCTTACAGTGACAACCCCCAACTAATGTCATATTTAAACAATCGTCAGTTTTAAATAGCTATAGTTGATATATACGAGATAACAATTGTTTTTGATATGATTAGAAATGGCCCAGCAGAGTCAGAGTTCTTCAAGTACAACCATCATTGCTGGACCCAGTGGGATCCAGACCCAAGGTGCCTCTAAGACACACCTACCTGGTGATCCTCAATTCTCACCTCTTGCTGTTCCGCTGGCCTTAGCGCATTCTGTCGATGCTGAGGTAAGACCACTCACTCAAATTAGTAGGGTATAAGTTTCATATGTTTTATTCAACTCCCTAATTCATCAGGGTATTGCAGTGCATGGCGACCGACTGTGACATTTTCATGTCATGGCAGTTTGGAAACTTGATAAGTTGTTTGCAGAACAGTCACTTTGTATGCATTTGATTACAATTATATAATTTGTTTCCACAATCACAAAACCAATGGCATTGGAAATTGAAAGCCCCTATTGTTTGATATAAAGATGAAATGGTAAAGAAAGTATAGGTTATTTATTTTGTTTTTGTGATATTAACATGTCCACATATTCTGTCTGCTCAGCCTGTATGACATAGAAACTGACTTTTTATTGATTTCCGATAAATTTATGATTTTTTGCAGTACTTTTGTCTGTACTAAATTGATGGAATTGTTTTGTTTTTGTCGTTGTAGGTTGCGCTAGCCACCGCAGACCTGGCGATCTCACAGTCATCTAGTCTAAGCTCGTACTCAGATGCAGGGCCGTCACGAGGCGCTACAGATACCCCCAGCTCGTTACTAGACAGCGAGAGTGATGAATCAAGTCGCGAATCATTCCAAGTGTAATACAACCTCATCCTCTTCCATCGAGCACCTTTAATGTTAACTCTATGATCAGCTTGTATGTATCGTACAAAGATTTGGCTATGTTGACTGACACACAGACTGAACATGTGTGATTGATTGGTTTCGTCCTGGTGTGACTTCAGAGACTACGTTTAACTTTGAGACTCATGTCAACTAGGATCGATGGAACCTACAGCACATGTATGTGTGCTGTATTGTAAAAGCCTTGGAGAGTGCATGTAGGATATTTCTTGAAGAATAAAGAAAGTGTAACGAGTGGAAGGACAAAAAGAATTGATCGCTGAGATGAGCTGAGCTGAGCCGAGTTGAGCTGAGCTGATATGTTGAAGGAGGGCTTTGCTAGATCAGCTGACATTTTGAAGGATAGTTTCGAAGACAGACATGGATTGGAACAAACAATGTGCCTTGGGATCAACATATATAGCTTCATTTTAAGCTATCCAACAGAGATTAGTGGAGATTTCCCCCAGCATCATACAGAGGTTTAATCGTTTTCTAGTATTGATAGTGAAGAATTGCATAGATGGGTGACTTGAAGTGGTAAAGACCATTTATTCTACCTACCGGTAATGAAAGAAGAAAAAAAATGACATCAAATTGAAGCCAAGTTAAAATGTTCTCATCATATTGCATACTTGATTTGGTTTGTTGCATGGTAAGTCTTGATGTTCTAGATTATATAATATTTAATGTAACAGAAGTTTTTGTGGGTACTTAGAATTGGGAACATATTGTACATGTCTAGAAACAGTTTTATCAAAAAAGATATTTCTATACAGAGAGATTGAAATGCTGTTTGCTGTGAACGTTTAATATTGCAGTGCTACTTGCATTAACCATGTGAAATAATAATGATAATAATAAATACATATCTAATAACTTACTCAAGGCGCTTTACAAAACAAAATACACAAAACTAAGCAAACTTTTTGCATAAAAGTCTTGGTAAGGATTATTACCAAATTAAAAAAACTATGAAGCAGGGGTCCACGTTGAAATAAAATCTGATTATATAAAAGTAGAAAAGACACTACTTTAACTGGTCACAGGTGATATAAGAAATGAAATGACATAGGATAACAATGTGAGGAGTTTTATAAGTTGTGAAGATCATTAAACAATCTGGCAATTCTGTCATTTCATTTAGGAGCTATTGTACATTTGTTCATAAGAATTCATATATACTTTTATTTTTCTTCAAAGAAACTTCTTTCTCAAATATCTGTCAAAAATTATTTTGAGAAAATTGTCATATTTATCCTCTTTACAATGAAGCTACCCTGTAGCGATGTTGTATTATGTTCTGGTGGATAAGTCTCTTGACTGTGAACCACAAGGTACAGGGTTCGCATCCCTGTTGCAACACAGGTATCCTTTGGCAAGACATTAATCTGCATTCACCACTCTCCACCCAGATGAGGTAAATGGGTATCTGGCAGGGAGTAATTCCTTGAAATGCTGGAGCACCGTAATGGCAGCCATGCTAAAGCCAGGGTAATACTTGTGGAGCACCAGGAGTGTGACAGGCATGAGTGCTATACAAGAACCCACTGTTTTTATTATTTTATCATTATTAATTTATTATTATTATTATTGTTTACTTTTTTTTTTAAAGAAAACAAGTACAGTGTCCTTTTGCATACAAAACTTTAGGAACGGAAAATCTGAACATCGCGGAGTTGCGTAATTTGCTCAAAAGTTGACTGAAAAGTCTTAAATTTGTCTGCCTTCCAATGTGGCCTTATATAGAATTCTGTCATGATCTTGTCAACTCTTCTGTTAAATTAGACCATGTGTAAATTTTCATGATGAGTGTGTGTACATGAGTAAAGAATCAATGCCTGTATATGATCTTAACCCTGTTTCATTCAACTTTTAATCAGTAACAAAGTTACAATAACTGTTATTAAGCTACTGAAATTGTGGCATTTGTCATAGAAATCTAGCTTTTGTTATTGATGAAAAGTTTTTATGAAACAGGGCCCTCTATTTCTTTTGTTTCTAGTCTTGTTAACATATTTATGAAGGGTTATTGAACAAGACTGATGAAAAAGATCAAGATGTCAGATCTCTATCTGACAATGTGTTTTTTTCCCTCAAATTTCTGAGATGTTATCTGGAGTACACAAAATGGAAAGTGTTTGAAATCTTTCACTTAGATAAGGTATCTGTGCAAGTAGTGGATTGGCTCTAAGACATTCTGATTTCGACAAGCTGTATTTGAATTTTAAAAGTTCAAATTGCATGATCATGTTTTTAGGAAAAACTGATTTTGTGAGGGTGGACTAGGTGGTGGGACCTCAGACCAGGCTGGGTCCCGGAAACCTTCCTTTTTTTGGCTTCCGGTACAGTTCCGGTCAAAAGTTTGGGAAGACAGACGGGCAAGCAAACAAAAATTGTGGTAAATGCTTACGTCATTAGCGGCAAACTGAGTTTTAAAAAATTCATTAATTAGGCTGTATGGGGTTAATATATTTCATGTCCTTATCAGACCAGGGAGGTGAAAGAAAAGGAGGCGAAACTCTTGTAATTTATTCAAACGCATTCTTGAGTTCTAAAGCGTAACAATGGGATGTGTAACATTCCACTTGGCTTTGAAGTTCCATGCTCCGAACCGCGCTTCCACTGCGGGGACTTTCGGAAGCCAGGCACCAGTTTTACATTTATTACAAAATATTAAATTACCCGCAAAATTTCAGTGTAAATCAAAAACTTTATATGGGGATTTTATTTGGAATAGTGCATCAAACAAATTTTCAAATTTAGAACTCCGTCCTTCCTTTAATTTGTGTGCCAGAGTTGGTAAAAGAAAAATTACACCCTGTCAAAAACTCAATATTTTAGGATGATGCGCTAATTTGTGCATGCTTTAATGCCCCGTTATTTGATCCATGATTTACAATCTTCAATAACATTAAGTTTGCTAATGCGTGTTTTCGCGTGTTTTTTGTATTTTTCAAGTTTAAAAAAGGATGAAAGTACACAAGTTTGTGTTTGCTTGTTCTACTCTTTACACATTCAACAATGGATGAGAAATCATTGGAAGGGACAGCGAACAGTTGCAGTGATACTATTTTCTGATGTAGGAATTCTAAATCCTGAAATTTCATGCGCTCTTTTATCTCACCACCTGGTCAACAGTTGTAGATTAGCGCGTAACTTTTCGGTGGCTTGGAGCATGGGGTCAAAGGAGAGCGGCTTGATTCCAGTCCTTCTCTATCACGTCCCTGATCAGACATTTCCTCCAATTAACCAAGTTAAGTTGAATTTACATGAAAAATCCCTATAGTATCGGACAATGATCGGACTCCCTTCTCACGTCGGGCCGTTCTAAAGAAATATGAAAAGAAATATGAAACATAAGTGAATCAGAAGTAAGCCGAATACCATTTCAAATGACTTCGTTATATAATGATGATCGTACTTGCATCAAGCCATCCTAAATAAGTGAGAAACTTACCAGTCATTGAATCGGCTGTCTTGAGTAATTATGAACGCAAGTGAAACGGATGATTCTTGTTAAGAGCACAAATGTCCGCTTTTAACATCAGTACGTCACAGTAGGAATGGTCTTTACAACGCACATGCTGGCATCAAAACTGTTAGGTCAAACTTATTAGGCATTCCCGTCTTTTCCAGTTTCCTGTCTTGTTGAGGGTATCAGAATATCAGAAACAATATTGCAAATTTTCTAGTCCGGTTCTGGTCCAGGCTTTTCTTTTTAAGTCCCAGCACCAGTGTAGACATATCAATGATAGATCAAATCATTAGCGGAATAAATGTCATTAATTGTTAATAGACAAATTTAGCTGTGACAAAAATAGGCAGAATAGCTAATTAACCAATTTGTTCTTGGAAGAGAAAGTCGATGACAGTGGACAAACTGGTCTTAAACGAAAGCGGTTTAGAAACCAAGCTTTGGGTTTCAATTTGAGTAGAATACGGGCCATAAAGTTTGTGCATATTTGTAAAGTTGTTTTTACTCAGAATTTCTAACCATGAAAATCAATAGAAAAGAAAGCATGAGATTTTAAATGTACAGAATATAAAGATTTAGAAAGTAAGATATGGTGACTTTGTTCAATCATTTTCTTCATGCAATCATTTGAGATTGATCTTTGCTTTCTAGTTTGCTATAGAATTATGCAATTTGACATTTTCTAATTTTGTTTATTTTGGGTTTAACATTTTGTACATGAATGATACTTTAGGTCATTACATTTCATCAGAATATGTACGATTCCATACAAATAGGCTTATAATTCCAAAGCATGACATCCCCATGTCTGTATGTCTGCTGCCATCATGTTTCATCTCGCTGCTTGTCATTAATTGACAAGTCTCGACGGGAGAGCGGTTCGATTTCTTGTCAAGTTGTCATTATTTAATCAGTACAATGCTGAAGAGTCCTGAAAGAGACAGGTTTTGATTTTCCCATTTCTTTTTCTCTTTCTTTTTTAACTACAGTGAGTGGAACCTCATTCAAAAAATTCTTTGGGACCAAGTAAATTTCTTTCTTACATAAGGTTGTAACCAAACTATGTATCATGTTGATCAAGAATGGTGAATTGGATCTAGTCATGTGATTGCATTGTGAAAACAACTAGACTTGAATGGAAAGGTTGATCATATAGTAATTATATAATATTGGATGGCTTTGAGTGTGATACAGTCAAACCTGCTTTAGTGACCACCTGTCTACAAAGGCCACATTTGTTGTTTCCCTTGAAAATGGTTTCTCATTGAATCATGTACTAAAGGAACCTGTCTACAAAGACCATCTGTCAACAAAGGCCACTTTTTGTATTTCCCTTGGGCTGTCGCTATAGACAAGTTTGACTGTGCAAGAATATATTGCTCGAGCTATGACAATATTGGAAGACGAGTTCATTATTGTCATAAGTTTTATCTTCCAGTATTGTCATAGCTCGAGCTATGTATTCTTGTATCACACAAAAACAAAGCCATACAATATAATTATTATTATCTATATCAGGCTGACCAGCTAAATAACAAAATTTAGTATCGACAGTTGAAGTTCTCAGATCACTGAGCAATACAAGAACAATATTGATCCGTCATCCGGGTACTGCGCTAAAGATATTAAATACAATGTACACTGATTTATTGTACCACTTGGAAGCCTTATATGGATAATAATGGTGTATATTGTGAGGTTTTGGAATCATCAAAATAATAAGAAATTGGCCAAGTCTTGCTAAAAGTCAGATGCACTGTACACAGAATTGTATATATGGGCCTACACAAACAAATGGCATGAAAGTCCACAACCTTTAGCTGCTACTTTACTTGTGATATTCTGAATATGGGGGTAATTGAAGACCATGCTTTTCACTGGACATTTATTCTATGATAATCTCCCCACACCAACATAAAATGAATGAAAAAAGATTACACATCCATTTTGCACCTTTCCCAGAATTTGCCAATCTCTCTGCTTCAAAATGATGTAATTGATGCCTTACATGATCTGTTGATAGACATGCTCTGTTTCGATTCATTATTCATAAATTGCACAGAATCAAGCATTGTGATGAAGAAAAATGCCTCTAATGATTGAACTGTATTTTTAGATACATCACTTACATGTAGGATCTGTTCCCATATTCCACAGGACTGTTTTCCCCATAGCTTCCTATCTATCACAAACTATAGGCTTATCATTGCAGAATGAAATAAACAGACACCATGTTTTTTTGACAGTTTTTTTTTTTCTTCTATTTTTGTGCTTTGTAGTACATGTCATTGTAAAAAGTGAATATGCTCTTTCTTTTTTCTTTATTATGTGTACATTATTCCCTGTATGAGAGATCATATTTTAAATGCAAAATGAATAATATTAGTAACTTATGTGTATAAAATGACAATGAGAGACGGGTAAGACAACTTGCTTCATTAAAAGATATTTCCCACTATGTAAGAAGCATTGTGTAAAGTTTAGATATAATACAATATTTCTCATGTACATACTGTGTGCTTTCTTGAAATAAACACACAACTATGAGTGGATAAAATGTGTTCTTGTGTGGTTGATTTTATTGTGGAAGATAATTTACATTCTTATGTTTTCTATTCTCCTGTGCTCCTGGGTTGTGAGTCCAAGTCTCCTTTCTTTGCATGTCTCACTTATATTTTTAGGTGGTCATTTTGTCTTCCCCATTATATGTGATTGGGAGAGCATAGGTAATTATAGGTAACGCCTCTAGCTATTTAAGCTTTTCTAATTTTCCTATAAATCATTTTACTTGTTTAAATATGCTTTTATTGTACTTGATTAAGGAATTTGACTTGGACCCCGTTTTATTATGGCGCCATACAAATGCTGTTCATCATCATCATCATTATCATTATCATCCACATCATAAATGCCACAAACATGGTTCTAATTTTTGTTTTAATTCTTTGAATATAAGCTCTGAATACAATTACAGAATTGAGCTTATTTGCCGTTATTCATTAGATAATGAAATTCACTACAAGGAGACCATCCTGCTGCCCGAATATGATAATAATAATAATAGCTACCGTAGTTCTTATATAGCGCAAGAACCGAAGGCCCTCTCCAAGCACTTTACAGATATATATATATGCCTGAATATTTAGGGCTGGTTGGGGGCACAAGTCCAAAGATTCTTAAAAAAGGGTTAAGTGTTTTAGCCTTTGTTAAGTGGTTTAGCCCCCCCCCCCCCCCTTTCTGGATCCACCACTGTTGTATTCTCATTATTCTTTGTAATATGTAGGCCTATCGATCCATCCTATTCATGAACCTGTATCTACATAGCAATTAGCATACACTGTTGGGCAGATCATCGGGTTCAAGAAAATTAATTAACAAAGTTCTTTGTTTGTGATGGAGTTTACTTTTCACCAGCTGCTACCAACCAGATAAATAAGTCGTACATATTCGTTCTCTTAAGAATCATTTCTAGTTCATTGCAATCTTGTTGGAAGTCACTGCTATAGCTGCCGAGATGAAATCACTTACATCAACTTTACTGTTAATATGCCTTCTGCATTGGTGGACTTTAAAGACTGATGCTAGAGCTTTAGGTAAGGATTAATATTTTTGTAAGATTCCCGATTGGTTGATGCTGAATTTCATATTTTTTTAACCAGTAAATTATGCTTAACTTTCCATGTAGCATTGTAGCCTACATGTACATGCATAACTTCCTACAGCTGTGTGCTAAGATTACCAAATTCATACCACAGGTATATCTCTTGAAGGCAAAGTTAACAAATGGGTCAAATCTGACCAAGAACAAAGGTCAAAATGTCCATTAACTTTCCTTGAAAAGCACTGTATACATATGCAATAGCTTTCTATAGCTTTGAGGTAAGATCACCAAATTCATACAATGGGTAACGTATCCGGACACCTACCCCCTGGACATAACCACCCCCAGTCAACTACCCCCTAGGACAACTACCCCCAGACAACTACCCCCTAGGATAGTTGTCCCGGTGGGAGTTGTCCTAGAGGATGGTTGTCGTAGGGGGTAGATGTTTGGGGGGTAGTTGTCCTAGAGGGTAGTTGCCCTAGGGGGGTAGTTGACTGGGGGTGGTTATCCGGGGGTAGATGTCCTAGAATCAGTGGGTACATCTTGTAACTCATCACCTTGTATGATTATGATTCAGGTCCTAGGGCTCCTTTCGTAGCTTCTGGGCAGTCCGTGGACGAAGATGTTTATCTTGATCTGGACGATGATGGCGGTACTGACCACGGAAGAGATGGCCAAACTAAATATATTAAAAAGGGGCAACGACCACAGGAGGAGAGAGTCGATGGGTACGTTCATTTAGGGAAAGAGAGCAGGAGAAAAGAAGAGAGAGGGAGGAAAGAGAGAGAGAGATAGACAGAGGGAGACGGAGGTACATGTAATGTTGACAGAGAGAGTGAGAGAGAGACGGAGAGAAACGGAGGTAATGTTGACAGAGCTAGAGAGAGAGAGAAGATAGAGGCAGACAAACAGACAAGATTAATAGGAGAATCTCACTAAGAAGAAGACAATTAAAAGAATGGTATGAACATGCTCTTCTGGGAGAGCACCGGACTTAGATTTGTAATATCTTCTCTCTCATACACACTCCTACCCTCTCATCAAATCTAGACTCACATCGATTACTATTATGATTTTTTGTTTTACAGAGCACGGAAGAAGCAGGGTGATATGATGAACATTAACGCACCTAAGAAGCCTATCACCCCTCTCGCTCTTAACACTAAACCTGTGGAAGCACCTTAATCATCTTGGTGCTTCATTATACCCATCTCACTTTTAGCACAAAGCCTGTGGAAACTCCTTCATCATTTTAGATCTTCATCACATCTTTCTAGCCCTTAACAACAAACCTTAAATATAATCCTTGTATAATCATATGCTTTTGTAGTTATCTTATGTTTACCGGTATTCAGATACCTTAATTTATATACAAACCTATTAACTGGGACCTACATAATAAAAGCTTTGCTTTTTAGTAGATCCCCCACTTTATTAAGCTTTTTGCAATGTATTTATCATACTTATGATTGTATCTTTTGTCATTAGTATTACCATGTTCATTATGTTTCTATATTGTATGTTGAGTTTTAATTATTACCATGTTCATTATGTTCAATTATGTTATCTTTGATAAAGTGGAAATAAATAAACTTAAAACTTGAAACCTGTTCTCACATAATTGTCTTGGTGCACACCCTTTTCACTCTCAGCACAAAGCATAAGGAAACCCTGTACTTGTCATGGTGCTTCATCTCATTAACACAAATCTTTGGAAACCCCTTTATCGTCTTAGTGCTTCATCACATCACATCTTTCTTGCCCTCAACACCAAACCTGTTCTCACATAAACGTCTTGGCATTTCATCACATTTCTAACATCCTTCTCGTTCTTAACACAAACCCTTGGAAACAATTTATTCATCTCGATGCTTCATCTCTCCATTATAACTCACAAAACCAAACCTAGTTACATTCTTTAAACGTGTTAATGATCTGATCTGCCCCAAGGGAGAAGTCATTTCGACGAAAACAACTCAAAATGCACTGGCGTACCGAAAATGTCCACATCATTATTGCCATATTGTTATTTGGAAATTGGCTTTGTGTTTGTAGAAACTTATAGTGGAAATAGCCAAGCTGTTGCATCTATGGCTGGCAAGGCCAGAAAGGTGTTGAATATATGGCGTCTGCATCCTTCTTGCCCTCATTAGACTGTGCATCGGGTGTTTTATCGTGACTGAAGCAAAAAATATTATGGAGGATACACACTTGTGATTATTGTGAAATTGATAAATCAACCAGGAGTACGAGTCTATTCTTCTCCCCCCCCCCCCCCCCCAAATATATATTCAACGGCCTGGTCCCTAAATAGTTTTTCACTCTAGTGTGCAGTGCCTCTTTATTGTATTTAATTAATTTATGTATCCTTATTTTTTTAGGGGGGGGGGGGATTAAGTGCCTTTCGTAAAATTACTGATATTTTGGGATCTTCGTGATTAAAATATTTTCACAACTTGCGATTTATATTGTATTTGTTTATCTTTTGTTTAAATTTGTTTGAATAATACATATTATTGGTGTGCATGCATTGTATTAATAAAAAGGGTAATACTTACCGGTAATAATTTACTTAATACTTCATTTGATATTAAATGAGCCATTAGGTCATCAATAAAAATCTAACCAATGATGCTGCTGGATGGAAATGTCTATTTGAACTGTTCTTCAAGACTTGAAAATTGCACAGACAAGTACTTTGATTTATTTTAGACGCAATAAACTTAAGGGTCACGCCAGCTTGTAGTTACCGTATAATGACTGCTTGCCATGCTTGTACTTTTAAACTTTAAATACTCATTTTTGTCCAGTGTGAACCATTGCAGTTGTCAGTGGATTGTTGTTTAAAACGTTGATTATTTGCAAACTTAGGTTTAAAACTTTATGTGCACTGGTCCCAAGAAAAACACTTACAACCAAGAGTTTGTATTTTCATAAGAATTTGGTTTAATTCATGGGACAAATAATAGATTATAACATTGAAATCATTGACAATGGTATATTGCAAAAATGGTCTACTAAGCAAGCCTCTTTGCAAATGAAACAACACTTTTGTCTGTGGGTCAAAAATCGTGATTAACATAAGGAAATATTAAACCTCAGTCTAACTTCCTTTATTAAACCTGATTTTAACAAAAGCTTGAACCCAGTTGTTGGGTTTACATTCTAGTAGAATATGGGTCAATATGAATTAGTCAATAACCATGGCTTATAAACATTTTATATGTCAAACATTCATGACATTTATTAGTGTATGTAGATTAACCTGTTTTTTAGAAGAATTTTCAGGCTTGTCATGCACACATAAAACTCATTGGAACACTTTTCTAACAAAGTTGAACTACATAATTTTAAAAAGTATAAAGCTCTCATAATGATTGGCAGGTAATGGGAACATGAACTATTAAAAGGACATCTACGGTATATCAAGGGATATCAAAACATGCCCAACAAAGAACCCAACATTATTACAAATTTCACAAACCAAAGAAAGAAAAATACATGGCAGTTGGTAAAATACTGTTTTCAATTCCACTCTTACTTTATATAAAACATTAACAAGAGATAATAGAAACACTACCACCATGCAGCAGCACTTTCAATTCAACTTTATGACTATTCATCTTTCAAAAATACTGAAAATTCTGTTTTTACTAAATACAGTTCAAAATGTAGCAACATCTCTAATGAAACATAAGTACACGCAGCCATTATTTTCTAGTATACACACAAAATATATAGAGAGAATTAATATCAAAAAAGGATACTTGTGAGCGATAGAGATGCTATTATTTTCCACGTATAAATGTCTGTTTACAGAGAAAAAGAGTCTTTATTGAGGTATATATTTTAATAGAAATATTGAGAATAGAATGATCTCAAGTAGGTATATACATATATGAGACAATACTTTAAAAATCTCTCCCTCTCTCTCTCTTTCTCTCTTGAGCTGTATCAACAATACCACAAATATTGTCATTCAAGTCACAATTATTTCTTAATCAAACCAGATAGTAATGGAAATGAGAAGCAAATATATTCCAAATGAATTCATATCCAGGGACTTACTCGTTGGTATCACATTACTTGAGTTACATACCAATCAGATATTAAGTAGATTATCAAAACCATAATCAAGTTGTACACCCTAAGTGCCCATTTTCATTTGATAACATTTTCATTTTATTTGATGAACAATTCATTTTTATCAATTATGGATGATCATTATCCTTTACCTCTTTGTATAAAGATATGGAGCATATGACAGCCGCAATGCCTATTATTATACCTTGTATATGTACAGTATGTGAAGATTGTAATGCCATCCAAGTAATGCCATCCATGTAATAGGCAGGCTGTACATTGACTTATAGGTAATTCATCATTTAAATATACTTTTAGAACGAGGAAGTCCTGCTTTTCATAAAACAATATTGTTAGATTTGAGTCTCTCTGATCATTACAGGGTAATTCAACATCGGAGCACTATTAGTGATTATCCCTGTTATTTCATGAAACATGGCTGAGAGGCTGAGAGCCTTAGAGAAGAGTATTTGGGACACTTTCAGCTTCAAATGAATCGCAGCATACAGCGCAATGATAGTTTCACTATAATCACATATTAACTGAGCCCTGTCTTATAAAGAGACAACATTGATCGCAAGTCCTATTCAGAAACTCACTAGTGCAAATTTGCAATAAATTTTAGTAGTAAAATTGGTAGTAAAATTAGTAATGCATTTGAATCAATCATAATTTTCTTTATAGGGCCCTGGATGTACAAATGTAAAAAGTGGTTTGAAACGGTTTAACTCCCAGAAAAAGAAAGTATTCATTTTATTTCTATATTGAGCAGTATGTTCTATATATTTACATATTTTATCACTATTTGCTGAACACATGTTTTGTATATCATTCTATGCATACATGTGTAAATGTTTGCTAGTGTTTTAAATGCTGTGTGGCAGAGGTAATTTGTGACCATGCTTCTTGAGAGGACCATAGGCTAGCACATCAAAGCATTTCACAAAGGAAGCAATCTTGTATCCAGGTTTTTTCTTTTAAATGGTCCAAAACCTGATCTGATTTCACTAGGCCTATTTTCATCGGCTTGAGATTGCCAAATATCCAGCTATTTGAACTATCCCGATCCCGAATTATCCAGTTGATTTGTGTCTCAATCAGCCCGAAGTTGCAATTAGCAGGATATTTGGTCGAGATAATCATCCCAAGATATCTTGGGCTAAATTGCAAAATTTCCTGCTATTTAATAGCTAGTTCTTATATAGCGCTATTTGTCGAGTGCGTCTTTACCAGCCTGAAGACTTGCACTATGCGCGAATGCTGAGCAAAATATCTCGAGCTAATTTCTCGAGCTCAAAGTTTCAAATTTCGAGGTCAAGTCTCGAGCTGATGAAGACGCGATTTGTAACTTCGGGATTATCTCCCAAATCGGAAATAGCAGGATATTTGGCTATCTCGAGCTGATGAAGACGGGCTTATTGTCAATATTATAAACTGACTAAACCAGTCAGTGACCGCAAATGTTACTTTTCAAGATAAACACATTTTGACGACATTTTCAACTGCCTGAATCTTTTTATGAATGAAAGATCTATTTTTTTCTGCTTCTGCATTAAATCAGACCTTGAATATCTGTCAGGGTACAGATCACATCTCAAAGTATGCAATGAGAGGCAAAAACTGAATTTTGAAACTTTTAAAGGCCCACTGTACTACTAGTAGCTACTTGCTCCCTCTGTATAGAAACATTGCCTGATCAGTGACCATTGGTCCCCCATGATTCTCTTTTTCTTATGTTAATTGAGCGCCGAGTTGATCAGAAAGCCACCTGTCAGTGACCTTCTTGGGTGGTCTAATCCCTCCAAGCCAAACTAGTACAGATGGGCTTTAAAGCAATTTGGTTGGTCTGTCCGCTCATGAAAATGCTGACATGCTGGAAATGTTATCTCAGAAACCAAAAAACAAGCATTCATTTCTAAATTCAATGGCAGTGGTAACCTTTCATAGTAATGCCAAAAAGTCACCTATCCCCACATTACCATCATTCCACTGAATTCAAGACAAAATAATAACAACTTTCATTTTGAATGATTCTCAACACGTTTTAAGGAGAGCAATACGAACAATCTGCATATCAAGAAGACAATTTGTATTTTGCATGAAACTTTTCACAGGGAGCTTTTACTGCAACTGTCAGTTGAAAACCTATTCCCTAACTAAACTGGGCAAAAAGAAGAGTGATTCTGACTACCGTATTTAAAGAGATAAGTGAGTTCTGTTTTCAGACAGCAATTGCCTTCAAAGTGCCATGGTTATTGCTCTTATTCATATTTATGACATTTCTAGTGCTCTTTTAGGACCTAAAATTGCAATGGAGGTAATTTTGGACCCCACATTGTGTGAAATTTATCCAATACGATCATACCAATTCAGCTCCACTTTCCCCAAAAATATGGTGACCGTTAATTAATTAATTAATCAATAATAACAATACATGGGCCGGCTGGTTGTGCGTATTATAACCGACACGAAAAAGCCAACATCAGCATTGGTTGGAATAAAACGTATAAGACGCTATCTTGTTTTTCCATCGGCTTGGTTCAAATTATCAAATATTTGTGGGGCACCACAAATATTAGAAATCGTTATATTTATGGATATTTCAGCCATCTCTGAACCGATTTCGATCAAAGAAAGATGATTTTGTCATTTAAATTTTATGTTCTTTCAAATATGACACTTTTTTTTTTAAATCTCACAAAATAATTATTTTATGTAGCGCCCTCTGAAACAAAACTCAACTATCCCTTTAAAGAATAAACATGTATGTACTCTGCAGCTCCAAGAATATCATGAGCTTCACTACAGGACAGATATCATCCATTTTATCATTATCATATCTACTTACTGTAATTGGTTTTGTAACTATTAATGATTATCATTATCAGAATGTCATAATAAATTGCCACACCTGTACAATACTGAAAAAGCTGTTGTCATGAATCGCTGCAAAGCGGTTAGGTGTGAGGTTAACAACAAACAAACGTATTGTCAATTTGCCATCTCTACAAATATTGAGTGCCTTGAGGGACATCATTAAAATTACATACCCCATTTATGAAGAATCTAGGTCTCAGATTGGTCAAAACTCCAGGCATGATATTCACTACAGACTGTTGGGCAGTATAGCACAAACTGTTGTCCAGACAGCTGGTGTAGTTCTACTTTAATACAT